AATGTTATTTCTGAACTATCAATTTAGTGAAAATATTATTTATATTTATAGAGAAATACGGACCGTTAGAATCAAAGACTTTCATATGTATGAATGATATTAATATGCTATGTATGTTCTTCTTTGTCGTTGTGTTGAGTAATTTTTCAGTTCCGCACAGCAGCACATAGAAAGCTTTGGTTAGAACTAATCATTTCTAAAGAACGACTGTCTATAATCCTCAGACGAACTGAGTTGTTATATAAGGTAATAATAAAACTGCCCATTTTTATAACAATATTTTATAATTATGGCACTTCAATATTTTGACAAAACACTTGCTTTGAATTATACCTTAGGTTTGAAGCTATGAGATTGAAGAGATGTTTTAAATATCAATAGCAACTAGACAATAAGAAATAATCTCTTAAAATGTTACAAAATAAAATATCATAATGGTTAATGGTGTTGGGAATGTATCGATGTTAAAAAGGAATACATATCGATAATTTTTAACAAGGGAGTACTATGCGTATCGAAAATAATATTTTTAAAAACAGCAAAATATTATATTGTTGTTTTATAGATTAGCGTCTGTGCTGTAATTAATGACAGTGCCCCGAACCGTCGATTAAAAAGCTATTATTCATTTTTATTCTTACGATGCCATTGCGGTTATTTTTATTTATAGTTCTTCTTCTCTTTTGTTGTTAATTGGTAAATTTGGTGTACTTAACCCAATTAAGCCCCAATGACACCCCCATGAATGATCATTTAATTATCAAGATGCTATTGATATACTTAAAAATAATACTGCTTAGTTTTATTGTCGGATGTATATAATTTGAAACCTTCGGTTTACATTCATTTTGTCCATCATATGTATTATACGGTAATAATCAATACCTAGCGCTCGTCCAATACAATTTTTGTGAAGCAACTTATCCAATCTAAAATTTGACATCTACAATTCTAATGCCAGCCTTTTTTTAATATCAAAAGAGAGAAAAGTGCGCATAAAGTTTTAGGTCTAACTAAATATTTTAATATAGGGAAATGATGGTCACTTTCACAAATTAGAACATTTTTGTACAACACAAGATTGATGAAGTAAATCTTATTGCTAGTCATCGTTTCAACGTTTATGTGTTAATTTAATAATCCTTTTTCTCTTGAAACAGTATTGCAATTATACAATTCTTTTGCTTTAACGATGGCAATACCCATATTATCAATCCTTTACACAGGATATAAATGAAACTAGTGTATAAAGAGAACAGCTAATATGAGTATCGTCTTTATAAAAACGAACTTATGTAATACCTATGCTTAAATCTTAAATGTATTGGACGAAGGTCTTAAATTTAAGGAAGATTTTATAATCGAACCATGAATGACATGTGAAAAAAAAATTGACAAACGGGCCACATTATGTTCAGGCGTGGATGGCCATGAAACCAACGTTTTGTTAAGCGTAACCTTAGGTTGATAGGAACAAGGAGTAAGAGTGAATATTAAAAAGTATAATAATAAAAGTATGTAAATAACAAAGAATATATAGCTAAAGTAGTTGAAATTTCATCAAAAATAATAAGTTTAAAATTATATGAATTTATATTATAAATTCAGTAAGATTTATGACGGCGAAGAATTTTTATTGGTTCATATAACATTCTATAACATACGCCAAAGTCTATAGAGTATAGGGGACACAGTTTCAATTTAAAAAGTTTAAGTTATTTGGTATATATTCCAACCAATTGGCAACTGTTAAATAATATAAATAGAACCTGAGTTAAATTTTGTGAAATATGCCATAAAACGCTGATCTCGTGACCACACAGAAGCCTAACTAGCGGGAGACTCAAAGTCCGTTTGACCCGTGAAGCGATCAACTGATTAGTGTAATAAAAACCAAGGTGCAAGTTTTAGAACATTTTTAAATCTTTGAATAAAACAACTTCACATACGTCCCTACCTAGTGTTGCTCCGTTGGATTTAATATATTTATTAATATGTATATACATAAATAAATATATTTATTACATTTTTCTTATGTGAATTAGAACTAAAAAAGGTGGTCATATAAAACACAAATTAATATACCCGCTATAATAAAAATGACGTTTAGTAGTTGTTTTATTCAAATTGTAAGTTTTGTTACAAATTAAATACATGCAGGGTTGTTACCCTAAAGAAAGGGCCAAACTTGAGGATAACAGTTTGAGCCCGATTCGCATAGATATGTTAAAAATTCTAATTGACTATGCAACATTATTTTTTCAGAACAACTAGTCATTCTATATGCGTGATATGCAGTATTTAGAAAGTGAAGAAAGAAGTATTAAATATAAATAAATGTGTTGAAATACATTTTCAATACCTTGTATAATCTTAAAAGATAGCAAAAATGTATTTTAGCACTACATTTTTATACTTTTTAAATTTAATTAAATCTATATTAAATTAAAGCGAATAGGGTAAAATTTATTTCTTATTTCTTAAATAGCTTTTCATAATAAAAATCTAAATACATTAAGGATTTGAGACAGCCAACTTGAAACTTCGAATCTTATCTTTTTATGTCACGATATGTTCCTTCGTGGTAGTTTTTCATTGCGAATTTTCTTGTTGGCTATTTCAAACCTTGGTAGATTTTAAAGGATCTCTGCGTTCCAAGGTGTTGGCTTAGTGTAGGTATGCCCAACTACTGTGCTTGTCATGCCAGATCACCTATTATACCATTGTTGCTAGCCTTAGTTTTACATTATTACCACATGCGATGAATGTGATAGTATTTAGATTTAGAAATGACAGTATGTGGGAACGCCCAATATTTGTGGTGTACTCGAAACATTATTATTTATTATAATATAACGGGATTCTTATCTAATGGATAGAAAACGAAATAAAAAACGTTAATTATAGAACGATGCTACCAATAAAGAATTAGACGATCATAATTAACTTTTTATAATTAAGTAAGTATACTCAAAACTGAGCGACATATTTGTGTCAGTAAAGATTAAATGTAACTAAAGAATTAATAACAATTATAAGGAAGATTATTATTATATAAGGTATTATATATAATATCTATGTTTTTCGTAATTATTTTACATATCAAATAACCTATTATATGCTTTGCACTCATTATTATTATGTTATATATCTATATATTTACAAGGGTAAAAGCAAAACAGCCGGGCTTAATTTATGATAAATATGCCTGCTTGTAAAAGCCTAGGCACAAACTGTGTTTTTATGATATTGTTGCACCATGCCTAATAATAAATCTTGTACATATTTGTTTAAGGAACTACCGTTGTATGATATTAACTACTAATTAGAAATTCAATAGACTAGCAACAAAATGTGAAAAATTACTAAATTGTCATAGATGGCCGATGAGAATATGAAGTTATTGTAGTTGCCTATAAAACAAAACACAATTCTAAAGCATAATATTTTTGGATAAAGGTATTTCATTATTCAGAGTATATTATAAGTACATTCTGCAAGTGATAGTGAAATATCACTACCGAGTCCTATTGATACTTATAAATTAACTATTATATATTTTTGAGAATTTATAATAAAAAGCCAGGTAATAAAATAGAAACCTTAAAACAAATCACCAAAGACTGTTAGGAGTATAGAGGGACTTGGTAGAAAATAAGCATTCGTGCACGAATATATTTTATATATGTAGGAGTTTATAAGGGATAAATAAGTACTATAGCGTAATTAAAATTGATATAGATGTGATCATGTTTTTAAATTTATAATCTTGCAAAATAAATGTAATTAAATAAGTAAGTCATTTTTATCTAGACCAGAAGATCATTTGCATTTATTATATATATGAATGTTGTTAAATAATTCGTTTTTTAATATAGCTTTAATTAATTTCAGTTATAATATAGTTCTATGGATTTATTATTAATTATAAATCGTAACAATTATGCGTATCAATGAGCAAGGACACTTAATTTGCGTTCGTCTTCTATATCAAATATTTTTTTATATATATGAAGCGGTTATTATACTTTTTGAATTTTGGGAATTATCACAGAATCCAAATTTGAATAGATTAAGGTTAGTATTTTAAAATGATCGTTAAATAAATATCAGGGCCGGCTCGTCCGTATAGGCAAACTAGGCATAACAAACAGATTATGTTTGCTTTAATTATTTGAACCTTTAAAAAGCAGTACCTAAAAAAAGAATACTTTGTTCTTTGAATATGAGTCCATGCCCGCGTTATACAAAAGTACAAAATTGTCAGACCAGTAGTACGTAAAGAGTTTCTTTTATCATTGGCAAAATTATACTCTTTCATCCGTGTACTTAGTCTTATTTTGTTGAGATTTTTTTATAGACATCGTTCCAATGTTTTGCCTAGGGCGCCAAGTTTCATTGAGCCGGCGCTGATCATTATGCAGGAAAGTATAATGCAGTGCACCGATCTGTTATGTAAACATAGTATCGTCAAGTTAGCACAGTAAATATTATCTGCAATTGATTTTGTACTCCACACAATATTTTAAAATCAAGTGGTTAAATTTGTCAGTGTTGATCGAACTTATATTACTATATTATGGACAGCTACTTTCTATATCAGGCTTGATATCTTCTGTATCTAATTATCAATGCCTGAACTGGGCCAGTCGCTCGCCACTTGAAAGTCAGAATTCAGAGCAGTATAATAACCTCTCAAAAGCGTCCGGGATCACTCCGTTAAATTTAACAGTCTTTGTTGTTGTTTCAAAACCTACCTACAGCTGATAAAATCAAACGAATTAAATTTTGTACCTAATCTATCACCGATATCCCCATTAACACTGCTAATCAATAATTAATCATTATCAAATCTAAGCAAAACACTTAACAATTAAAATTATTGATTTACATTAACCATTATAATTAATTTGGTGTTTATTTTCGTAGATTATTCAATAACGCTATTCTTATAAACGAAGTATCATTCATTATCTTCTATTCTTTTTGTTCCTTTTTTTTAACTAATTCATCCGTAAGCAAACCACACTGAAATATTTAAGGTTTAGACAAACGATCAACTTGATTTAAGTATAATGCATCTCCGTTCATTTCTATCTGTTTAGCAATAATTAATTAGGGAATAACTTTATCAGACAAAGAATCAATGGGAATTTTTAAAATAATTCATAGAAAGCCGATACATACACATTTTGTCCAGCAAAGCGACCGCCTATCTTTGATTATAGGTATAGCTATAAAACCGCTTTATTATTTTTCATAATATCAATTAATCTGTTGATATTCGTTTAAAATTAAATGTTTTTATTATTTACACATTTCATCAAACATTTTGGTTGATTTCTATTTTCGAAATCTTTGTTTGTCCAAACTCGTCATTTTGTAAATTTAGTCTTACTCTCTTATAGTAATTGAGTAAATTAAAACAACCAAAAACATTCATTAAATATGTAAATAATAAAACAAGAACATTGTTTAAGAATCTTAACATATTCATTGATAGAATAAAAGAACATTCTTATAGCTACGGCTAGAGTTATAGCGAGATTTGTAGGCCGCTCCTCTGTTTAAATTTTGGTGGAAGCATACGACTATGAAACCATTTGTTTGTTATTATATGTATATTTTGTTTTATACTTTATAGTACAAATATGATTTTAAAAATTCATTAGATTCTATAAAATTCCGCATTATAATTTGGAATAGATCGATTAGTTTTTATACCAAAAACTAATATTTTGTATTCCAGTTAAAAAATTAAGTCATTCGTCTACAATGAGCTTATTCGCTTGGACAGTTCCATCTATTTCATCTGTGGATTAGTACCTTATACATATCAAAACTTTCAGGTAACTAAGTGTCTCTATATTATTGGTCATTCGTGTCACTATCAGACTATGTCTTGTCCTTGTCCCTATAAAACTACTGGAGAAAGACAACGAATAGCTTGACGTTAATCAAAATGACCTTCATACTGTCAAAACTACATATAAAATGAAAACACAACCATTATTATTTTTATCGCAATGTATTCGTTCCTATGGCGATATTTTATTGCTAACCTATTTTTATTACGAATTACAATTAAAACCTTTTCCGTCTACTTAAACGGCAGTTCTCGCTAGTATTCTCACTTAAATCTCACGTCTTTAACTAATGTGCCCCACATCTATTTTAAAGTGCATCTATGAGCAAATCCATCTTGGTCTAAATTTGGACCAATCAGTAAAGCATCGCGGAGAGAAATTGTAAAATATTATTCATTTGATTTATCGATTCAGTAAACGTGTGTTTCGCATCACTATGTGACTGAGCGTTATTTACATGCTAGATTAGGTATTTAAATGTTGGAATTTTTCATTTTTCGCATTACCAAAATGCTAGTTTGAAATGGTATTCTTAATTAGGAAATAATCAAGAGCAAAATGCTGAAAGTGAGAACTGACTCGAATGAAAAAATTGTGCTTAATTTTTGCAGAACGTCATTAATGTTTATTAAAACCAATGAAATTTATTGCTAAGATTATGCAGTGGAAGTCGGCTGTGTAAAAACTAAGCACATTTTAAATTATGTAACTAATCTACGGCTACTATTGGACGAAGATTATAAATAAGTATTTACTAGGGTCTTACTTCTTTGAATCAGTCGATCGATTAACTTTGTTTTCGTGCACTAATGAATATTATTTTGGCGCAACATCTGAATTGTGAAATTTAAAGCTCATTTTATTGCATGTAAGGTAAAAAAATGTAGCATATATATGTTACATGATTTATATATTGATAAATTTACTTTCAAGTTTATGTTGCCACGCCAGAAATAATCCTAGATATATATTATATAATTTTCAATAAGCATTCCTAGGAAACATAGCTCTAATTTAACAGGCCAATTATTTGTAAGAACAACCAATTTCACTGATTATAGTATAAGCCATATTCAAATTGATTGATTTAAAGGAAATTGTGAGCAAATAATATTCCTACTTTTGCTTATGAAAGTTTATTTTTTAAGAAAATATGAAACGTCACTGTAAAGTTATGAGTATAACTGTCATCTAAAAATATTTGTTTCTGATTTAGTGATAAACATAATTATCGATATTAATTTTATCGACACATGGAAATCTTTTTAAAGAATATTTCCTTTTAGTTTAATGTTAAAGAAACACTGAACTGTTGATCAGGTATAAACATAACTTCACTTGACTTTTACATTTTAATCATTTCGTTTCACAAACTGATTAGTTTTTTTATTAGGCTATTAGTAAGCGACGTTTCCCTCCATTTCCAATGACTGCTTTCATAAAAACGGTAATTATTCGGTAATGCTGTTTGTAATATTTTAATAATAATATTAACCAGTTTAAAATCATACTTAAATTTGGTTACTTTATTACTTAGCTTTGACATCAGCAAGAGAAATACAATGGAAGAATCACATCGCCTATTGCACTGAACGAAATCCAACCGAATTGTTCAAAAACGAACGGTAATTTCACTTTGAATTAATATTTACATCTATCGTTTGATTGGTGACAGTCAATCATAGAGCATAAACAGCGTACGAGTATAACCGTGTGTTAAACGATTATCTTGTAAGTTTTTATCGAATTACCCATCGTTTGCGAATAAGGCGGCTGATCGGTCGACCGAATCACTTAATTACCGTCAGATAAAAAGAGCACTAATCTTTTCACATTCAATGGAAGTGCGCATAGAAGCGTAGTCTATACCTGATATATACCTCGTCAAGAGTTTATGTGACAATCTTAATATCACACTTAATATCTTACGTAGTAGAATTAAGTATAGACGTCTTAACTTGTACTAAGCAGTGTTGTTGCGATAGTAATAGTCTATCAATAGTATTGTTTCGGAAATCAGTCGAACTATCGATTGTCCTATCAAAAATATCACCCTTGACAATATTATAAATAATATTGAGTGTCAAAAATAAGTAATACACGGCTAAATATCCATAGCATATCGATACAACAAATATTTACTTATTTCTCGCTCGATACTAACGTACTGATTAGTTTCGATAGTTCTAGCGGCAGTGCGACTCTTTTCAAGGTCAACTATCGATAACGAATCTATAGCTATCGCAACAACACTGGTACTAAGACGCGTGCGCAGATCCATCCCCTCCGCTGTGAAACAGAGCTTTTTTTATTTGACGGTGATTGTAATCTAATCTACTTCACCTCAGGCATGCACATGCTAGCGTCAGTGTGAGAAGCAGCGTCGAGGTGAGCGCCCCCGCTCCGTTACACATGTCCTCCTCACAGAAACACATGTGGCCCGTGCCAGTACTTTCCATCATGCAAACGTGGTCGACCATAAACAAATTGATTTGGAGCTGCGATGTGCACGTACGTCTGACGACCTCGTACGCTGAAAAAGGGATAAAACGATTGATAAATAAAACATTTATTAATTTTAATATGGGATGTAATAAGAAATTGGGAATTTTTGTATGATCTTCTCTGTACTTGGAGAGTATTTTTATGTATCAAAAAATGTTTTCCTCTTTACCGATGATGAACATCTTCCGACATATGACAAAAGTTTTGGATTCGCGATCATGCAATTAAAAAAACTTTCACAAACTAAGTTGTCAAGAAAAATCGTCGCTACATATTATTAGAAAATAGGCCGTTATTTAGTGTTTCGTTAAAAGTTATACATATTTAAACATTAAGTAAGAAATTACTACCTACAAAACTCTTTTAATGTAAATTATGAAGTATTTAGTTATTTCTACCATTTTTTATTTATTGTGCCAGCTATCGGTGAATCTAATAAAATCAATTAAAAATGTTATTTTAATTTTACTCACGGCTCTTGGAGTACCGGACCATTTTGACGCAACAGCCGTTGCAAGTCTGCAATGGCGGCTGGTCGCGCGGCAATGCTGTGTAGTTGAACGGGTCTTTACAGCGTACATCCGTCCAACTGTCACACTCGTAGCAATATATTGTGCGAGCTGTAGCAAAAAAAAATTAAGTTTTAGAAAAAAAAATATTGTCAAGAGGAGTGCGTATATAGGCGCCATGGTTGTAAGGCTGAAACCGCACCGCATGGTACACGTACGTAGTTAAAGTCTCGTTTCCAGTCGGCTAATGCGTACCCTTTAATTCGAAGGACAGGCCTTACATTTTTACGGTTTCAGACTTTTATTTAATAATTGTGCGGTCTGAGCCTAATAGTGAAAGAAAACTATTTTATGTGGAACGTCACGGTGATAGTATTACGCGTCTTTAGATGGCGTTAGGCTTCTCATTTGGGGTTTAGTCATATAAACCATAATTATTTTTTCCAATAAACAATAATTTGTTTACAGATAAAATAATAAACGTATGTATTAAAATTGATATGTGAATTATGAGTACCTGGGTATAAGTATTTGTAAGTTCTGTACATCCTTACTGATTGACTGATAGGAATGTCTCTATAACATGAAGTCCACCATTTATTTTGTAATTTTGCCTAAAGCCTATATAAACTCCAAGAATATACAAACGCCATCTATTGACGATAAATATATGAACTCCAAAGGAGGAAGGAGCAAATGTCGTTGCAATAAGCGAGCATTTGACTTTTGTTTCTTTTGTTTTCAAAGTCTGCTTACTGAGTGATAGATTAATAAAAGCTGGCCGATCTCATAGGCGGCTGTAATATGAAATTATTAATAAAAAAAACAGTTTATTTTCGTTTAATGTAAAATTTGAAAGTGAACTTTCGTTTTATTTTTAATAAACTACTTTTTTTAAAGAAAACACTTCATTAATTTACTATTCAAAATGCAAGTGTAGCTATTACTCAATTTATCTATTTCTATTAAAATGAGTAGGTAAAATAATGTTAGTTAAACAACGATGTTCATGAAATAAAGTTATGATTGAAATATAATTATAATAAATGACTTTTAAATTTATAAATTTGGGGATTCCATTTTAATGTTAATGTAGTGAAAGTATTTATTTTATATTAAAAATATGAGTCAGAAAGGAATTAATCATAATTTTTATAAATAATGTAAACACGATTACTAACTAGATGATTTATACATAAAAGGTATAAGTGAGCTAACATCGAGTATTAGATGTCGGTAACACCAACATCTAATACTCTTAGAAAAAATCGCATGAATGGTTCCGAAATACCGAAAATAGCAAATTAGGCACATTTATTGTGTAAAAGTCCCCTCAATTATTTATTTTATTCTTAATTTTAGTATTTGTCGTTGAAGTGGCAACAGAAATATATTACCTGTGGAAATTTCAACTGTAAACTTTCACAGTTCATAAGATACAGCCTGATGACAGACGGACAGACAGCAAAGTCTTAGTAATAGAGTTCCCGATTCACCCTTTGGGAACGGTGTCATACAAAGGATTGACAGTTTGAGATAGATGTTCTTTAATATGTATTTGATAAGATAAAAACTAAAGGGCATATTCATAACGAAAATGTAAATTATGATTTGATATTTCTCGATTCCGTACTTTAAGAAATGTTGGATGATAAAAAAGTGCTTTCAATAAATTTTATTATTTTATTTGAATAACAAAATATTATCATCGACATAGATGTTATTAATTAACTACAACGTTAACGTGCTTTTTAAGTTTTGATATTCCTTAATAGAAAGGCAAAGAGCATAACCTATTTAAACTCTCCCAACATGAATGTTTTTTTTACCCGACTGCGCGACGCAAAGGAGAGTAATGTGTTTATCAGTCTATGTATGTACATATGTATGTTTTTTTCTATATGGCGTTCTAGAGACCAAATGCGTAGGCCGATTTTGATGATTCTTACGTCTATCGATTCGTCTTAACCTTGCGAGTGTCACTAAAGACATGACAGTAATCAAAATTCACCACAGCGACAACCAGACACCACATTGTCTAAATGAAAAAAATAAAAATCGATGAACTCTGTCAAGTGGGGTATCGTTGAATGGGTATTTTAAAATCATCTTTAGGTTCCTTTTATCATTTTTCATTTTAAATAATAGTTTAGGATATATAACGATTTAAAGTTTTTTAACAAAACATTCACGCTAATTTTTCATTAGGTTCTCTATTACAAATTCTTCCAGTTGTATTGTCAGACTTATAAACTTAAGGGTTTTTTATTATTCTTCAAATTTTTAAAACACATCGATTTACTTTCGATCAAAGAACATATGCACAAACATGTTCATGTCATGAAAATAACCGTGAGACCAAAAGTAATAGATAGATCAAAGGCATTCAACCATCACGAGGTAAGTACTGATATAAAGCAAACTTTATACAATATTATTAAACGATTATGAAACGTACGAACACCTGCTCTTAAACTGAAATAATGATTTTGATCTATTAACCTGGGGTTCAATTCTACTAAATAAATTTTGTTTAAATCGAATCGAAAACGGATCGAAACCGAACGAAACTACAGTTTTTAATAGTTTTTCTATTCTACTAAGTATTCTACGATACAATTCCAGCTAAAATAGAACTGGGATTGTATCGTATGTCACTTTGTAGAATAGAAAAACCATTAAACACTGTAGTTTCGTTCGGTTTCGATCCGTTTTCGATTTGATTTAAACAAAGTTTATTTAGTAGAATTGGCCCCCTGTTACATTTATAGTAAAAAAATAGTACCATGAGACTATTAAGTAATTAGAAATAGGTTACATAAATGAAAATATAAAATAACAAGGAAGCAGACATAGTAACTATATTGCTTATGTGATGATTATTAATGAAATAATAACAATAATTTATAGTCCTTATTTATGTAAAGTTCCACGTGAGTATTATGGCCCGGTTTTCCTGCGTGTTTCTTGCCAGAGACAAGGCCATGTCCCAGCTGCGGGAACATTAATAGGCTGAGTAGGATGCTGAGTAAAATACTGAGCTTGTTGGTCATCTTTGCACAATTAAAAGGTTGCATGCATTATTGTATTGCATACGCTGCTTTTGGTATTCTCTAAAAATATACCATCGAAAACAGCGCTGGCGCATCATTAGTGCTTTAATGACATAAAACCTTTATTGTCTCCTGAAGTAGGTTTTATTTGAATGCAGCAATAGTATACGACGATGTATTATTAAAAAAATTGCATTGCTGCACTGTAATCTTTATTGTTTCTACGTAATCGTTTTATTGCAGACTTTTAAAAACTATTATTGAAATTAGCGCGGTCGTATTAGTAGGCCGGCATAGTTAATTATGCTGTTGCTTAGCAAGACCAAGGCCTGCGGAGCTAAGCTTAAGTCACGCGAACTAATAGTTTTTTACGTAAACAATGTCCTTGTTTTGAATTGTGAATTGGAAATAAAATAGGTCAACGATGGAAGTCACGTGAAAACTTTATATTTATATCATAGTCTAGATATTAATGCTAAATATATATAATATTTTATGAATAAAAGGTTGACAGAATAGTTGTTTTCGTGGTTGTATTTTATTTAAAGTTCCGAATATTTTAATAACATACTAATCTCGATGTTATTTATAGTTTTGGGTAAGATAATTTATTTGTTAATTCTGCCAATTTCTACAAGGTTTTTTTTTAATTTGCCGTGTTAGTAAGTGTGGGTTTAATATATCAAGTTAAATTATCCTATATCATCGATTGATCTGCAAATATAATTTTGATGACAATGCAATTTTGATATGGAATTGAGCTGCAACTGCTATGATGCAGTCGGAAGGTACCCATGGGATCTCTTTAATTAAACAAATCAACCGTATCGAGTTGGGATTCATTCGATATGTCGAGACAAGGAAAATATTCATGGTCTGATGATGGAACTGGTAAGTGCCAATAGGAACTTCGTAATTATTGAAACTCCGTCGATTTTGGACTCGTTGGATTAGTCTAGACAAGACTTACATCCAATAAAACTTCTCATTAAAAAAATAATAATACAGATTGTAGGTATATTATTAAATCCAGTTTCTGGAACGTTTAAACAGTTTATTTATATAGAAGGAAGCTTCAGAAAGTAATATAAAGTAACTTCTTCTTTTTCTTTATAATTATTTGCTATTTCCCTTTTGGATATTGCCAAAATCCAGTGTATAATTGTTTATGAGTCATCAATAAGATCAATTTTGAATTAATTTTACGCATTCGTTAAAAAAATCAATGAAAAGTTCTTAGTATTAAGTATCTAATTTATGAATCTCCTGTAATAAATAGATGTTAGCAAGAAAATAAATAAATACTTAATTTTTAATAATTAGTATTTTTATTTAAAAAGGTAAAGCCATTATCAGACCCATATAGTTATTAAAAAATCTAGTGATAACGATGGTAATAAAATTCAGGGCTCAATCCTGATTAAAAATTAATAAATATTATTTACTATATATAAAAAAATAAATACTTTCACCCTTTCACTTATTTGTAGGTTTGTCAATTTAATAGTCAATGACAAAATTTAATTAAAAAAATAATTAATTTCATTACTCACCAGTTTGGGATGAAGTTATATATGTAATAATATTTTCCATTCACAGTGTGTTGATATATTTATTAAACAAGTATATAAATAATCCATAAATGTTTATCGGCAGCTCCTCGTTTCTACTAATGTTAACATAATAATTGTATCTTAAATGAGTATCAATTACTTGGATTTTCTCATTGCAGTATCTACCTGAAGTCCAATATTATCAATGCAAAGTCTTTTAACTAATCATTGGTTACAGATACATCTGTTATAATGTGAAAAAAACTGTGTCTTTAAGACTTGTTATTGAAGCGCCATTGACTCGTCATAATTAGGGCCCAGAATTGGGTCCCTGCTGTGAAACTAATCGACGGATTTTTATGAATTCATTGTTAAATAAATTTTAGGTTAAAAATATAATTAAATTGTTATGCAGATTTTTCAAATATTCATTGACATAGTTATATCGGAACTATTAGTATTATAACTTTATTTAAAAAGCTGAATCCTACGATATAGGTAGGTGGGAACTTTATTGTTAACAAAAACAAAACTAGTTTGGCACCTATCACATTTCTTTCAATTTATTATGTTATAGTTAGCCCGTTTGTACGAGAGAGCAGTGTTTTGATTTCATTCAAAATAACCCGCGACAGAGCTAATTTTAGATACCTTTGAATAGAATCTCTAAAAGAGATCAACACACTGTGAAATAAAATCAAGTATGACTGATAGACGTACAAAATGCAACATGGAAATACAAAATGCAGGCGATCTATATGCTTACACATAGCACTAAACATACATCAAATAACCCAGTCTACGGTTTTTGGAATAATAAATTAAATATATGAATATTTTCATTCCGTCCAAAAAAAATTTTGGTAGTAAACCTTTTTTTGTTAAAATATATGATTCTCCAATCACTTTTCAAAGGAATATTCAAATATTTAAAGCCGAGACAACTAAGCTGTACTTTGTTTGATTAAAAGCTGACAAGCATTTTCTGTGTATTTTACGGAGATGTTTTATAGTAATTAACGTGTACTTACTTTGGCATTCCGCCTGTACAAGAGGGCAGAGACTTAGTGCCCACAATGCTGAAAATCATGCTTCAATTAGTAAAAAAAGAAATAAATTATATTCGGAAATGGAACACAACTAAACAGTTTGCTAGATAGAGATAGTTAGGTCCTGTAAATAACTGAACCTCGAAACCGTAGACTGGGTCGTTGTAAAATAGAAAAAAAAAAATAGAAAAGAGGTTAGTTAAGAAAAATACAAACGCACTTTTTTAAATTATTTTAGAAAAAAGTGCGTTCAAATCTTACCGGATAGTAAGTTCTACCGTGGTTACGTGTCGATTTGCTGTGTATTTACATAACTAACAAATTAGTATGTATTCTGAAAAACAAACTTCAGTTATTCACAGGAGTTATGTTCGACTGTTTTATTCAGCGAAGAAGTTTAAAGTTATAAACATATCGTATATAATTATCGATATTTTATAGTGGTTGTGTGACTAAAAACTTGAATGTCATGCAATATAAAATTACCATCCAATATCCAAGGTAACATCCAACACACATTCCTGTGGGCACTCAAACACAGAATATTATTATCACTGAAAACACATCGATATATCGATCTTGAGAATGAAAATTTTTTTGACATACGAGACGCCAATGTTTTGTTTCAAATAAATTTCTATTTATTTCACGCAATCGCGGACTTCCGTTCTCATTCAGGATATATTTATTATTCATCGAAATTTTAAATTTAGAATCGATATAATCGTTTGCGTTTACAGCCAACAAGGATACACGACACGTACTATATGAACATCTATTTATCAATTAAGGTACACATAAAAGATTTTGTGATACAGCAGGACAGACGTTATACGGTTACTGATTGATATTTGGTTACCGGTTCTGATGCAGGAATTCGCTTTTACTTGTTCCACTCCAAACCACGACATGAGGAGTACTGAAACTGGAAAAAGATATATTAACCTTTTTTATTAAAGAAAATAAAAAAGAAAAATTCCAGAAGAGACATGGCCAGTCACATAATGGAGGAGCTCGATGGCGAAGTTGTTAGCGCATTCGGTCTACGATGCGGAGTTTGGCAACTTTCGCAAAGGCCGATCATTGGATGAGTGATTAAATTTTTTTATGTCGAGTTTTTTGGTGCTTCGCACGTTAAGGCATCTACAGGCTGACCTCAAATGACCTTTTAGTCCGCACTCGGGCCGCGTGCTGGGTTAAAGCTTTTCTCTCTACGTGATTCTATCCCTAAGAAAGTACAGTGCCCAAATAATAGAGACTATAGGAATGAGAAATTAATGCGCTGTGTTAATTTAAACTTTAAAACACGGTTACTAAACTGAAAACCAATTTGATAACTTTTAACTTCATACGAATTAAACAGTACCTGTTTTCCCTCGACTTTGCCCGCGTAAGTAATGACCTATGTCAACCGTGTAAGTTCAAACTTCCCGTGATGAAAGAATTAAAAAAATTGGTCCAGCAGTACTTTGGAAGACTCCAAAGTACTGCTGGACCAATTTTTTTTATTTTTTGACAAATTTTTATTAAATGCATATAAACAATCAAATCCTAACTTTTTATATTTAAATCTAGAGTACATATAGAGAGTATTTTTAATTAACTCTCATATATATCGGAGTACGAAAGAATGTTATGATATCTATACTATTATTTAATCTACGATTAATACGTGACTAAAATAAAAAGTTCATATGACGAAGAAGTGCAAAATTTTTAAACAAGCAATGCGTTTGACACTTTTCTTTATTTGTTGAAAGAAGTATGTATATAAATTACTCTACGACTTCTCTGTATGATAAAAATCGTCTGTAATTTCAATATTTATGATCAAATTTCGAATTTTCAACCGCAGTACTATCAGTGCATTAGTTCATATCTATACTAATATATAAAGAGGTAAAAATTAATTGTTTGTTTGTTTGCAACGAACAGGCTCCGAAACTACTGAACCGATTTTAAAAATTCTTTCACCTATGGGAGGCTACATCATATGCGGTGAACACAGGTTATATTTTATCCCGAAAAACAATCTTTGTAGTCATTGTCATTATTAAATTTGTCATTGTAATTACATTCGTGTCTTGATATGAATCGATATCCGAATAAACAGTTCCTTAGGGACCGCGCGGGCGAAGTCACTGGCGGAAAGCTAGTTTATTACCTACGTAAAATGTTTCATAACAGGTTCGAGGTTTTAACTTGGCAGCTAACACAATGTTTCAATTAAAAAATATATATTTTGTAAATAACTACACTAAATTTTGGAATAATGACGTTAATATTACATTGTGACCAGTGTTTTTTTTTAAATAACAATACGTACAGTTGTCTGCACACAATAAATTCTGAATTATGAGTATGATATTGTTTTTGAGACGTAAAGGCACATGTATACTACCAAGAAGTTTACACTAGTCATAGTTTACAGTTTACCAAAACTGTATTACAGAAATTGGTAAAACGACTTTATGCTAGTAAATTTGAAAATCATATTTTGAAAACCTCATCGCAATACGGTTTTCATAGTCTGTTTGCTATATGAGAGTAGCTCGGTGGCGTAGTGGATAAGCGCCGCGGCACGCGATCGTTGTCGTTAAGCATCTTTCGCAAGGGTCGGTCACGGGATGGGTGACGAAAATATTATTATCTAGAGCTACTCCGTGCTTCGGAATGCACGTTAAGCCGTTGGTCTCGGCTGCATTTGCAGTCGTTAATACACCCCAATCCGCATTGGGCCAGCGTGGAAGGTCATGGCCCGTCTTTCTTAACCATCCATAATGATGGCTTGAGCCCCCTGCAGTGGGGACGTAACACGGCTGATGGTGATCGCAATACGTTGCCTGGTATAGTGCAGTCTATAGATTTCTAAGTTTCAGGCACAGTAAAGGTAGAGGACGTTTACAAAATACTATGTACTCTGTGATAACACTTTAAAATTATAACGTAACGTGTTTAGTATACCCAAGGGTGCAAATAGTATTTACTTAGGGTTGGGATAAAAGCAAGGAAAAGTATTAATTTATAAATAATATTGGGTGAGGCATATGTCTAGCAGAGGGTTGTTATAGGCTACATAGAACATACGCAAAAATTCTGGCAACCATTACAATCATTATTATATATATATATATATATATATATATAGTTAAGGTAATAAAAGCTTCATGTCAGGATAGAGGATGTTCACCGTAGCCCATGGTACCAATGGGTGTGGAGGGTAAGTGTGTACTCCCCCCTAACGTTTATGTCTCGTGTTGAAATTTTGATAGGAGACATAAACGTATGAAATAGTACGATTTGCGGCCATCTGAGTGTCGTTAATAGTCGTGACGTTAGCTATTATAAATGGATGGAAAGTGGGACGCAGGCAGCGCGTGCGCACTGTAAAGTCGTTGAAGGGATAATTTAGGGTTATCCAGTTATTATGAATAAATTAATACGGTTATTAGTATAAGATACAACAGAGTTTTCAACGTTGTCTAAATAATAACAAAAAAATCTAATTTTAATGTTATACAATATTATTTCTTCTTGTAAATTAGTTATTTACAAAATTGAAAATACAATTGCATTGGATTAAAACTATATTTAGTCCAGCTTATGAAACAGGATTGCCACCACTGTACTAAATATAGGTTCGTTAAAAAGCGAAATGAATTTTATCGCGTGTCGTGACATTACACATTATCTATGATATCCGCTTCTGTTTGCGATTCAAGATCAAAGGTATCATGTGATCTATCTATCTATCTATAATAGTTTCTATGGTCAGAGTAACGCTAAACATGCTAATATTTCTTCGCTGTTCCAAGATATACGTATGCGTATATAATACATGGTCTACCAGGAGCATAATACTGCTACCAGCTATGAATTACACATAAATAATGTTCAAATATTTTCAGTGGTACCCAATGTGGGGCCAGTTATAGTTTAGTTATAAAAGTGAATTTCCAGTATTCCGAAACAAATAATTTACAATTATACTTATGCAGTTAATATATGCAATAATAATCAGTAAGTAAAGTAAAAGGATCAAAGTGTAATATTTTCTATAATCAAGATGTATCTAAACTTACAACGCCAGGTACTCATGCAATTTTCTTTTCAGGTATAATACTCGCGTAACATTATTCTGCTCGCAGCCATGAATTATCAAGTATTTTTTTACTGAAAACCTTTTTGAATTGTAGACATTTTGTGACTGGCGCCCAACATGGAGCTAGTTACAAACGAAAATTTTTAGAATGTTTAATAACCAATGAAAAAAAACCCTAGTTATAGAGAATACTCATAGTTCTTACATATGCACATCAGAATTTGTAAGCCGTTGTAACAATTTTTATTATGATATTTATACAGTATTTGTAGTAAAAGTTCAGTTTTTCATTACGCTATACGACACGAAATGAAATTAGAATTAGATAACGCACTTTCCAGTCTACTATAATACCATGTAGAAAAAAATAAAAACTAATGCATTAAAAATAAGCCATCGTATAATTTTCACTTTTTTCTTTTTATGACAATTATTTATCTGCGTATAACTAATTGCCATATGTAAAAAGCAACCTATGTAGGTGCAGCGATGTTTCCGTGATATATTTTATACGACCTGTTTATTATTTTGAATCAAGTAGGTAGTTTTAGAAACACTGACCTGGGACAGGAAATATCCAGCGCATTTTTTGTAAGTAGGGACGCCCCTTGCAAGCGACGTCGGCGTTTCAGCTATACTCGCGCACATCTGCGGACAATATTTTTTTATGTAATATACCAAGTTCACGTAATCAATATCAGTCGCAGTACAAGCAATTTAAGTTTAAAACACATTGTAGAAATCTGACATATTTATAAAATCTTCAGTGCTATTGTGTGATAAAAACAGCTCGTCAAGTTAGATGGAATAAAACCTCTAAAGTAGGTTTATTTCTCCATGCTGTACTCTGCTATAAGTACGTCGAATTCGATGCTGATTCTATTACAGTAACAGTATAGTATAGTAAAATGAAGCTGATTGTAAATACAATCAGTTTTACTATACTGCACATCAATAAAGCAGCACATCAATTTGTGCAAAAAAGCCCCAGATATAAATTCAGAACCTAATTACTTACACATTTTAAAGTTAAGTTCGAATGGAAAATTTTCGGCTTTTGTTGTAATTTGATATGCTCACGAAATGAAACCAGATTGGTACAACAGACTACGAATTTCCTAATTTTTAGTAAATGTTTTAGTCTGTCTTGTTAGATTATAACCTATCTTAGATTTAGATTAGATTCGATTGTAATTATGTCAATAAGATTATAATGATGTTTATTTACAAATTAACATTAACATATACCTATAAATAGATAAGTTTGCTTCTAGAATGAAAAGTTTTCTAAAATACCTATCTTTCATTATTCTTATTGTAGTTTCTAAACACATAAAATTAGATGTAATGAAAACATTTCAATACGCCCATAATAATAATTATAATTGTAATAATACATTAACTATTATGTAGTTTCTATTACAATATAAATGCAATCGTAAGTAACCTTCAAATTGTATGCGTTAGTTTAATATAACCTACTTTTTTAAGTAGAAATTAATTTCAGATACAGACAGCTTTAGTGTTTAGATGGCAAACATGTGTTTTGGCATACAAAATTAAATAAGTTGTCCTATTGTAATAAGTAATGTTTTTTTCATGCCTATTACAAGGGTATACCTTAAAATTAATATAAAAAAATAAGACTCAAATTATAAGGTCGACTATTCAAAGATCATTTCAAAAAAGAACACATCCAAAAAAGCGCCAAAATCCTATGGTTGCCGCGAGTTTATTGTCGCTCGCGTTGGTTGTCGTTGCGCGGACATTATTGATTTTACTCAAAAGGCAGTTTTCTTAACACTGTTTACTAAAACATCTAGTAATTAAAGAATTTACAAAACTGTACATAGAAATTAGATTACGTAGCATAGTATATTTTAAGAACATATTCTTTCATTATTAAAAAAATATATCACTTCAAAAACAGGCACTACAATCTGTATAAATTCAAGTTGACTTTTTAACACAAAATACGGAAAAGAAAAAATAAATATTAAGCATTTATAAATAAAAATTCTTAAAAAATCCTTACCGGCCAGTATCATTATTTAATTTGCACCTCATAGAAGAATAAAAAAATCACAAGTGTAATTTGTAAAGAAACGTGTGTTATAAAAAATGAGCACATAACATATTTTTTCTTTAAAAGTAGGTAATAAAGCTATTAATTTATTCTTGCATTAAAGCGTTTCGTGAAAACGATATGATTCGGAAACCCATTTTCTGTGGGACAAAGTATGTCGAAGCGTCGCGCGCTCAAAAGAGACTGGCAATGTTACCAGGTTGTTGAATAAACTCCTTACTCAACTTTCAGGGTGAATGTAATATTATTTTGATTGGAACTGATTTTATTTTCTTATATTATTAAGTACACCCAACTAGATTAAAAAATTAACACTACAAATAAAAATTTAATGAAAACTCAATACAAAAACTGCAGTCACTTTTTCTGTTTTCCTTGAAAATATTTATAACAGTCATATTACTGTACAATTTGTTAAGTCAAAGGAAACTCTATTTATACGAAGGAAGTATTAAAAAAGCATTAGTTCCCGAAATCAAACTAGATGTCGCTACGGAAGTTTATTGATTTCTCCATGACAACTCTTCTGATTTTTTTTCATGAATAAAAGTAAATTTATTTTCAAAACTCAATATACGTCTCATATTCTATTTGTACTTTTCCGTATTTGTATTAAAATCTAAGTTTCGAACTTTGCAAATATCACTTTTTTAATATGTAAGTTAAAAGGTACGGAAATGACTGCATTTGGTCTATCCGTTTCCTGCAAAAATCAATTTTTGTGCAGTGCTTTTCTAATGCTTTCTTTATTTTTTAAAAATACTTTCTCATTTATATGTTATACCTGTAGGTAATATTTTACAGTAAAAAACGTCGTATTAACTAAGAGTTACTTAAACACACGATTTCTATAAACTAACCTCTTTCATTCGATACAAGTCTTTGTGTTTTAATAAATAAAAGTTTTTTTACTATATTTCCAACTTTCACTTTCTTAAATTCGTTCATAATTTTTAATTTCCCCAATCAATTGCAATATTTTTTTGAGTAAGCAACATTGTTATGAACACTGGCATTGGCTACGTTTTGCTGCTATGCGGAGATGTAAAACACCTTATATACACGTGTAGTATTTTTTTACGTTTTATATGCTATCAGTCACTTTAATTTAGAAATTCAATCATTGTGTCGGCAACTTTCGAAGCGCCTGATGAACAGAATACTACATTATGCGTATACTTTGATTTTGCTCTCAAAGTCATATAGGCGTAAGAATGGCACATATGGGTTCTTGAAATCGTTTATTCGCGGGTACAGACCACAACACGTTAGGTTACACAACACTATCAAATTATCCAACTCAATTTTAAACATTACTACATGATGGGTAGAGGTCAAAATCTATTGTGGCATTTGACATATTGTGGTAATTTGAAGCGCGGCCATGTGTATCAGAGTTGTTACTGATGCGGGTTTTTCCTATATCAGCGGACGCTGATGATGAATTTAATAAATTATTTAAATAAAATATATATCACAAAATTATTAGCAAATATGGTATGCTATTTTCAATAAAACGCAAGATACATAGGTATACTAGTATTATATAAAGATGAAAGATTTGTTTATAATTGTTTGTTCGCATTACATAGGCTCCGAAACTATTAGACCGATTTTAAATTCTCAATTATTGGCGATTTAACAGTTATAAATATGTTAGTTCCATACCTAATCTGTAAACACGTATTTTTTTTTTATTAATTGTAAGTATAGGTATTTCATTTTAGCAAAATTAACTTACGATTTGAATCGGTGAATTACAAAAACCACGTTAATAATGCACGTTATGCCTCGTATCAGGGTTCTCCAATTACGAAATTTGTACCGAAGGGCAAGGTCGTCGAACGCAAAATATCGAAATAGACGAAATTCGTTTCCGAAGAAATAGAATAGGCTTTCAGGAGTCAAGTTAATTCGTACGTATACTGTGATTATTATTTACCAAAGTAGTCATAACATAGACCAAACCGGGAATCGAACCCGGAGACTTTAACACTTTGAAACTTTGAAACCACTCTGTTAATGAGGTAGTCTACATCTATACTATAACTGCATTACTGAGGCACAGACGGATGGAATTGAATCGAATAAGAGCAGAGGACCATGCCTAACCACGCGGGCCCAGTTTGGATTAGTGGGTTCTAAGACGGGACTAACGACTTAACGTGCCTTATAAAACACGGATAAGTTCCAGGTAATAATTTTTGGTCACCCATCCTGTGATCAGCTCTTGAGAAAGCGACTTAACTTCCACATCACCATACGCCATCGAGCTCCTCTTAATGCCAGACCCGAATCCACGATTTTTTCCAATCTGAGTAGAAACATGACATTCCCCCCCCGTTCGCAAGGTTAGCGGTAGTCAAACTATAGTGCGGCAACACTATCTGGTGCATTCTATTTTATTTCGTGCACAGAGCAACGTGGAAGAAGTGTTCACGAATAAAAAATATATATGACAATTCTTATTTTTACTTCGACAGTATTTGGTTTTAATCTTGTTTTTTATGATATCAAATTCATATGTATTTTTGAAATATAGAACTTTACAATTTTTATACAGTGTTCAAAAACTTAGTCTCGGGCAGAATATAATTAAATGCAATTACGGTATTTTACAATGCTCAAAAATGTGTTTTATCACTACCTAAACGTAGAAGGTGGGTGAAAACTACTGAAAAAAAAAACAAAATATCCCATGAACATTTTTTATTCAATGATAAGTCTTGTAAATACAGTTTAGTGTAATAATCACACTAGAATAATATAGAATAACGTATGTAACATTGATCAAATTCTAACCATTGTAAAAGAATATTGACAGATTTCCCATCAATTACATACATCTTATTACCTTAAATGATATGACAAATCATTGACCACTACTGAACTCCTTCATAATGTACACACAGCAACACATTTAGGTCACTATAAAATGTCAAAATTCTCCAATCAATGAACTTAAATCTAAACATTTCATAGTTTATAATTAGAGAAAATTGACAATACTGATAACCCAATTTAAAAGAAAAATCAACGTTTCTTATCCATATTCAAAAGCTCAAACGAACAATTCTTAATATAAAAAGTAAGTATCACTAGTCTGTCAATACTCTATTTACTAAAGGCAACACAGATCACATTCAGCAGAGTCAGTTGACTGAACAATCTTAAAAAAAACTATACAATTTAGGCGGCATTGTTTAGATACATTAAAAAATATACATAATCCAATCCATATAAACATAATGTACACTATAAATACATAAACTAATATCATAAAACCAAAGTATTGGTTCAAAATCAAAACTGCGAAATTTCTTACGGTGTTCCAACAGAACAACGACGTAACTCACTCGTCATTTTTTTATTTGATACCAATAAATATCCTAATTTATTTTCACTACTGCCCGCCATTTCGTCCATATGATCTTTCCTTTGATCGAGAGTCGATACGAGTTTATTCGCAGTAAAAAGTGTACATAGGCATAATTAACTCTACTCTCACAACTATCTCCATATAAAAAAATATACTACAACGAAAAGAAATCCCATTTATATTATACTTCTTAGTTTGGATATTTTATCTATAAAGTTTAAAAATATATCTTATTATTTCGGAAAAATAAAATTACGTAGTTGTTTTATTGAACGAGTTTATTTTGACATATCGTCAGGTCATTTACCAAAGCGCACCTCTTGATATCCAAAATAGCTTTAATGCGCTCGTAAAAAAACTCATTTTCGCTTGTCGAAATACACGTTTCGTGTTAATCATTGTTCAGTCGACTAACTTTTTCAGACTTAAGACTATCGTCTAAGACATAGCAAATTAAAAAAATATAGCGTTTAACATTAATTTTTGATGAACACGGTATTTCATATATCTAAATAGTATTTGAGTGTAAAATACTTAAACATTTTCCCTAGTAAAGCGTCATATTACAACGACTTGCGACAAATAAACATAAACCTCGATCAAAAAAGTCATCTTTAGAACAAATGAAATCACAAAAATGTCTCTTCTCTTTTTCCAATACTCTTACAGTGCTATTAATTAATCACAAGGTTTAGCGTCAGAGTAAATTTACGCTAAAATTGCAATTTTAGAATTAATCCAAATTCATATTATACAGAGAATAAGCAAACCTACTACCATCTATGAGTTAATATTACTCCCGTTAAACCTCGTACTAGATTAACATTCGCTAAGTCTCTGTTTAATAATATGAATTTTGACTAATATTAGGTGGAGTCTCATCGTTTATTAATACCACTATATGGGCCTATTTCACAACCAAAAAGATATCAATATTATGGATAATCTAACAAACATCATTTATATGAATTTATTAGAAAATATTTTAATTAGAGGCAGTGAAATATCCCTTAATACATATTTCTATTGCGTATTTTCCAGTTACGAGAAAAAAATGTATAGACATTATTGCATGCATTTGTTATACAAAAGTATATACATAAAAGATCATAGCAGAAACCGATGTGAAAACCAATTTTGAAACAAGAAACCATCATATATGTACGTATATATATATATATCTGTCCTTTTCTAACCTTAACAAATTACTTGAACAAAAGAGACAGACCGACACATTCCATCTCCTTAAAGCTTCAAAAACCTTGCCAGTTTCAATCATTATAAAAGACTATCACATATTAGTGGTGCACACCAATCAATAAATTTAAAATATCTATATCGATATTTTCACGACAAGAATAACTATTTAACATCGAATATGACACTTATATTAATCGAATAAGGCGGGTACAATCGTTGGAATAATTTCTTCTATTAGACTGTACCTCTAAATTATTCACTGTTATATTTCTTGTTATGACAAAAATAAGCATTTCAAACAAGATTATATTAACAATTAGTACATTCATATATACCATGTATTGTAATGAAATATTGAAATAGCTTAACTTTTTATGCATGTATGAATTGAACATTGACTAAAGAAAATAACATTTTTTTTGTTATATGTGGAAAAATATCTTAGTTCCATGGAAGCAGCACGTGTTAATCCCTCGTTTTACTTTGTAGTTTTTATTAATTAAAATGTGGTTATTAATTAATGATGAATTACAGGAAGTGGAAAATCGCGTCATTTCTTTTTTTTCATATGCCACTGGAGCCGTATATGGACTATGGGCTATATTTAATTATTGTACTACATATTTTTTACTTGCGTAATTTTACCTAAAACATCATATTTCAGCTTATAGATTTTTCCAGCTATCTTTATTTTTAGCATAAGTAAGGCTCCATGTAAACTTGTATTTGTGGCTAATAAGATAAAGTAAAAATCCAGTTGCACCTTAATTCCGAGTCTTTATTCAGTTGAAAACTGTACAAATTGGTATTTAAATGTGAATAATTTGGGAATGGAAGTATTGACGACTTTTCCGTATCCACATAATAATTCTCACATCGTATTTTTGATTTTAGAAATGACAATAAGTAATTTGAAAATATTTTTTTAGCTCTACTGTGCTATTGGTAAAACGACGCTATTTCCTCTATGATAGTTACAATATTACTTGTCGGTGTCTTGTTATTAAGTAGACAATGTTTATGACAAAATATTTATAAATGTAATTAATTAACTGAACACTTTTGTGTTATCGATTTTGTGTTTGCCTTTTGGCAATAAAGCGTAGCGGTATCTTATGAGTATAACGACGCCGCTGAGCCAAAATGGCGCCACTGCTGAGCCAAGATGGCACACCTTATAATAAATCCTTTGCGTTACGTTACGTCATAATTCAAAGTGTGCATTCAGTAGTTTATTATCAATACAATCTCTATTGAAGCAGTACTATTTGTTTCTGTTTGATAATAATGTTTATTTTTTGATTTCATGTCAGTAAATCATGTGACTAAAAAATGTTATGAATAATGTTATGTTATAATAAAAAATGTTAAGGTTTATGAATCAACAACAACTGAAGGTTAATCATATTTGTACTTAGATTTAATATGTTTTACTTCTCTTATTAATCGCTAGGGTGGATTAGTGACATCGATATTAATATGTCAGGCTGTGACAAATTGTTAAATATAGATCAACCTTTAATATACTAAGAAACATTAATGGGATAATAAGGCATGCCACTATTTAACTTAGTTAAAAACAAAAATCATTGACCGTTTGCTTGTCGAAGATATTTTCGAAAATAAATGCATTCATCGTAATTTACATTAATGGCTTATATAATAATTACAATTATTATTGTACAGATGTTTTATTATCACACCATCTTCACCCGCCATATCGATAAACACCTGTGCTTCGTTAATAGTGTTGTCTGAGTATCGACATATAACTTTGTCGATATTTCTACGATTAAATAATTCCATTAATTTTGATTAGCAGTACACATCTTTAAATGATTACATTGATATAATCATATAATTTTATCAAGTTAACAAATAAGAGAATAAACTCTAAACCTCCATCATGAGTATGTATAAAAAAACATCCGTATACCAAAGAGTAGAAATTTTTTATTGCATAAGTTGACATTAGATGTACAACGAATAGCTAATACTCAATTACTACATAATTTCAGTTTGGTAAACTCATGATAGTCATTGTGGCAAAAATAGCCAAATTGTCGTATTATACAAAAAATACTGTATATTTAAATATAAACCTGTGATAATATTTGGTTAGTACATAAGTATAGTAACTCGGATCGATAATAAGTCGATTCGATAGTGATCGATTACTGTGTTATGTGGTTTTATCAAGTTTTATCGATAATTCCGACCCTGTGATCGCGGATGTCACATGCTGTGCCTCCCTATCGCTTGTTGCGTAGTAGAGGCGCCCACTCATCCTGTTTTGCCTCACGGCTTTCGATTACACACTAAACTTAACCGTTTATCTGTTGGAAGAAGATATTAAATAATATTTTTCAAAAACTAAGAAACTTATAACATCAATCAAATTACATAAAGGAAAGTAAGCTCCAAGTGTATAGATGTACGGTATATTAATAAAGTAATTGCAGTACAGTTATTAATAAAAATGTAATAAAATCGTGCAAAGTCAGTTATTATTTATTTCAACTGTCAATAGTGTTGTAGTGTTAACTTTTATTCCTTGTTTGATAAATATGTTGTAAGAAAACAGAGGCTGATTTCCTCTTTAATAATTATAAGGTAAAGGAAAAAAAATATAAAATTTCATTTATAAGGTAAGTTTTAAATTTTGTTTAATATCTTCAATTAAACATCTTCATAACAAAATCGTATTTAAGGAAAAAGAAAAAAATAATATATACTAAACAAACTGAAGGTATAACGACAAACATCGGTCATTAACCTCTAGACGGTTATCATAAAAGTAGCAGAGAGTTTATAATCACCGTTTCACAATCCGAAATTAGAACGTTTAGGAAAGAAAGAAAAAAAGAGACAAGTGATTTACAGTACACTAAATATTAAACTTTAGGCGTTGATTACAATTTTATCTTGTGACGATCATACTCACTATGTGTTAGTTCATATGATGTTGCAGCATCGGCAGTAGCGTGGTCTGGTGGCGCCGCCCGCCACAGGGGGCGTTACTGGCGCGAAGTATGCGTGCACCTTTATATTCGGCAAATGGTTCTACGAGAAAAGGACATTTGTATTTAATAAAACACGTCAATTTGTAATGCTCCGTACTCATATACGATATTAGTCGAGTCTTACTCCAAATCGAGGAAAGATCATCTTGTGGAGCCCAAAACTCACAACTCCAATGTTTACATCTGCTCGAGCCGGTCCGATTGAAATTTGGACTGATTGATTGATAAATGTAATTTCCTTCAAACTTACTCTAAGCGACCTGTAGAGTAATTCGAGTGTCTGTATGTGTCCGTGAGACTAAACGAATAATTTAAAGATAAAAAAATAAATCATAACACGACTGCCAAAATGAAATAGATGTTATAAGGCTTAGTTAAACAAAATTCTCAATGCAGTCGGGCGACCGCTTAGATTACAAATGTTCCAAAGACCGGTCCTAATTCCAAATCTTAATTCTAAAGACGGAAGTTTTCAAAAGTTATGGAGGAATAAAAAACTTAAATATATACATTAACCCTAAACACAACAAACTCCCTTTTTTGGGTAGTCGTGTAAAATACTTATTTAAAATACGCCTACTGAGAAATTCTAAGAAACTCTACACAATTTCTAAGAAAGTGTCGGTGAATAATAGATGTCGCTAGTCGCTCGATAGAGTTATGGTGAATGTCTGAACGGAAGCCTGTGCGGATCGGAGGGTATTAACGACTGCATATTGACGCTGGAAAGCAACCACGTAGTCACCAAAATTGTTCTTTAGAGCAGATTTTTTTTCGATAAATAATTCTTATAAGCGTGGTAACAAATAAAGTGTTCCTTAGTCAATTTATACGGAAATAAGTTTTTTTTAATAATAAATATTTTCCACTCTAAATATCCATTTTGGTTTTGCAGGTAACTACGTGTTTGCTTTCCAGCGTCGATATGCACCCGGGACCAACGGCTTAACGTGCTTTCCGAAGAACGGAGTAGCTCGAAATAATAAAAATTTGGTCACCCAAACTATTGCGAAAGTTGCTTAACCATATAGCAGACCGAGTGTGCTAACCGCTATGACATCGAGCTCTTCATACAGAGTCATACGGAGTATTACCTTTAAAGTAAAACACAACACCGATTTATCAAGAGAAGGTTAAATATCGAAGTGTTAAATCTACTTGGTTTTCAATGTGAACATCTTGGCAGTGTGTCTGTCTTATATGAGTGAATGAATGAATGTAAAACTTTATTGCACACATAGGTAAAACAAGTAAATAGACGCAAAAGGCGGTCTTATTGCTAGGGTAGCAATTTCTAATTTCTTTTTATTATTTTATAATGGGCTTGCTCTTGACCTCAATCTAACCCAAGGATATAAATGAGAACTACCGGGACGAGCTTGCCCAGAAGGAACCGATTCACTCTTGAATTTCATATTTTAAATAGTGCTATCGGTTATCTTCCCAACTTATAACCACTATGTAACTTTGCTAATAATGGTAATAAAAAAAAATGTTTTTAATTTTTTGAATGACTCATTTCATAAACTTTAATCGTACATTCGCTAGTCATTGGAATTAGTTGCAAAAGAAGATTCATCATGCTCTATATTAGTTGGACCTCTCTTTATAAATAATTTTTATATCAAAGTTTGTGCTAGTAAAATTATAGATAACTTACCCTTAATTTTCGTATAGCATTTCTAGTGACAAGCTGACAGTCATACAATTCTATCAGCTGTAAGTTGTGACAGGATGTGAGGTGTTCTAACGCATCGTCCGTCACTAACGGACAGTTATCCAGGCCTGCGAATAACAATATACAGGGTTAGTCTTTCAGGTTTCTAGTGTTTTAACTAGCAACCTGACAGGACTAGTCAGCCAATATCATTATACTTTAATAATCTCTAATTTAAATAAATCGCAATCTAAATTATAAAATAAATTCATGTTAGTTACACTATTTATAACTCGAGAACTGCTGGACAGTTTTTTTATGTTGTGTTTTTTAGGATTAGTCTTCATCGGAAACAGGATAATAAGTATTAAAATATTATATTTTATAAACAATAATAATTATTAAGAGACACGAAAAAAAAAAGTGATAATAGTGATTTGATAAACCGCAACTTACAGTTGCAACGCAGCTGACGCTATGTGTCTACAAAACCTTTATGGTTTATTTTATTTCATTGTCATTCATTGACTGTTGGGAGGAACCATAAAGTTTATATATTTTGCTGGTATTTTACCAATAACCCTGTATAATCATGCCTTCGAAAGATCAATTGGGAGCTTCATTATTAGAAAATCGACTTCATTATTGTCATGTTGTGAAACAGGCCTCTTCTTTGGATGGAAGCATATAGAAAAAACATCTAACATCAGACCGAGTGCGGATTGATGAATATCTCTACAGTATTTAGAAGAACAAAGGAGCTCGAGATAATTAATTTTTGGTCACCCATCTTATGAACGGCCCTTGCGAAAGTTGCTTCATCTTTACAACGGACCGCGCTAACTTCTGCGCCATCGAGCTTTTTCTTATAGAACTCCTGTATGTTGCTATGGCAAATCAATTAATTCAATAAACTCACCCAGAACAGTAAGATGTTCCGCTGCGCAAGGCGACATCGACAACTGTTTGATACCGTAGTCGGTTATCAGTTCGCAGTGTGATAATGTCTGCGAATAAAAGGTAAAAGGTATAATGATAATCTCCTCCACACCTAGAGTCGGCATATAAGTATATGACAGAAAATGCATTGCGTAACGTGGGACTCGAAATGTCAGAACTGACAAATATGTTTGGACGCGAAATTCCGTTAAATATGCTCCGACCCTAATATTTTATTGGTTATTCTAAATAGAAAATCAAATAAATAATATTAACCACATATTCTTAAATTTTCCAATTAAACCACACAATTTTCTAATTTTTTTTTTCATGAGAACTTACTCCTGACAGTAAAAAAAGAATTATCGAAATCGGTCCGGCCGTTCACGTGTGATGGCCTGACCAATGGAAATACGGAATCATTTATATATATAAATAGCTGCAAATCTATTCTTGATATTTCACGGATTGTCTGAAACCGTTGATTTATAGTATTTGGGATACATAAATATGAGTACTAAATATCAATTCCATTAGTCCAGTAAATTACATGTGACAGATCAACGAACAGAGAGATAACACGAATGACCACAAGGCTTCCTTTTTAAATAGGGAACCATTAAACTAGTGTAACTATATCATAGGGTCAGATTTCTTGCGTGGTAGGCAGAGAACTGAGTATAATAAGGCCTTTCATATACATTTTTAGCGATAAAATAAGTGTTTTCTCACCAGCTTCTCCAATCTCGGACAGCCCATAGCTAGATGTACCAACGTCGCATCTGTTATTAACACACACTCCTCCAAATCCATTCTTTCCAGTAACCGACAGCTCTGCGAAAAACAATAATAAAAAACATATATTAGTTCACCACAGGCTGACTATTATATTCTTTTAAACATCAGCATAGCTATGAAACCTAACAAGAAAAACGGGCCAAGTGCGATACGCACACGCGCACGTATGGTTCGGTACTATCCATTAAAAAAAGGAAAATTAAATCACGTTTCTTGATTTCTATGGAGTTGTTTGCAATTGGTCGACAAGATTTTCAAGAACTAACGAATTTTTCAGTCCTGTTCGGTCCTGGGAAGCTCAGTGGTTAGAGCAGTCGCTCAGATTGCAAAAGGTCGTGGGTTCGAGTCGCATCTCAGGGTGCCAAGGACAAAGTGGATTTATTAGAATATTTTCAGTATAGCATTGTGAATACAAAATTGATCAAATATAACAATAATAAAAACTTACTAATTTATTTTTCGAATACAAAACAGAAACCTGTATTTTCATCTCAATTTGAATTACAATAGCTCGATCGCTGAGCAGAAAGAATTTCGTACATTAACCTTTCTGTCTACTGAAGACAAAAATACCTAGATGCATCTGTGCGATTTTAATAGCAATATGTTTGCGCACGACTGAAGTAGATATGCAGTACAGTAAAAGCTCCTTATTCGCGGGGGTTACGTTCCTTAAATAGGCCGCGAATACAGAAAACGCGAATACGGGATGGCATTTAGTATAGAATTATAGGGGATACGTTCCTGACGACGAAATAAAAAAAGCAAACACATAAAAAATCAGTTTAATTTAAGTTTTTGATCATATATACACGTCACATAATATCTTCAGGTTTAGGCAATGGTTTAAAAAAAAATGAGAATTTTTCTTGCTTGGCAGACTTTAAGAGCTTTCTCAGTTCACACTGATATTCAGCAGTGGCACTAGCAATTTGCCTCTTAAAAATAAGACTTCATTCCATTGATGGATCAATTTTCATAAAGAAATCACGAAGCTCATTTGCCATTCTTATGCCTTCACTAAGATTTTACAGATTAAATGTCACGTTGCCAGTGCCTGTTGACGCCTCTTCTTCAATGGGTTGTGAATTTAACATTTCCTCCAAGTCGGTTTCAGCCAAATCTTCATCTTGTGATTCGAGCAACTCCTGAATATCACTTGATTCTATTTGTTCGAATCAATCTCGTCCTATTCCACTCGCAATTTCACTTGTTTACAGTTAAAGTTTTAATTTCTTCCTCATTTTCAGCAGTCAGAACCGGCCATAGTTTTTTCCAGCATGATTTGAATGTGCGCTTCAGTTCTTGCAATGATTCTTGTATGTTTACGATGTATTTTGCTATGTCAAATTTCTTCCAGCATTCCATAACATTCATATCAGGATCTGGAATGTGATCCTGATATGAATGTTTTATCCAGTATGATTTTGAAGGTCCGTCTTATGTAATAGAGCTTAAAGGTCTGGATTATTCCTTGGTTGGAGGTAGACGCAAAGCCGTCTTTTCTTTTGAAAATACAATCTAGGCGTTACAACTACGCCTAAGGTCTATTTTATTTATCTCTTTATTAGTCCACTTGCTGACAAATGATACCGAATGCTTTTTATTTAGGGACATATTATTATATGAATATACCGATGTACCGATTCAATCCGCGAATAAGGAAATTTAAGCCGCGAATATGGGACTTGAGTCGCATTTTTTCAATCCGCGAATAGTGAAAACGCGAATGAAGGAAGCGCGAATAAAGAGCTTTTACTGTACTTTAATCAAATGTTTGTATTCTAGCTCACCTTAGCTAATGCCTGGAAGCCGGCATCGGTAAGTTGACTACACAGAGCCAGCTCTAGTGTGACCAGATCGGGAGATCGCGCCGCTAGAGCGGACAGAGACGCATCCGTCAGACGTGTACAACCGGACACGCATAGGCGACGCATCGCCGGTCCCAAACGGGATATGGACTCGTCGGTCAGACTCTGGGTGTCACAAACAGGCATATACAGGGTTATTAGCACACATTTTTTTAACTAACGATAGTAGATCATGACACAAATCAGGTCACTATATACCATGTCATTAGTATACAATTTTTTCCTTCGGTTCACTATCCTTAACATAGGTTAAGGATAGTGAATCAAATCTTCTAGTGAATTGAATCAAACAATCAAATCTTTCTTCTTTACAATATAGAGTATAGACTCTATATTGTAAAGAGGAAAGATTTGATTGTTTGTTTGTTTGCAACGAATAAGTTTCGAAACTACTGGGCCGATATTAAAAATTCTTTCACCTACGGGCAGTTACAGCATTTGCGGTGAGCATAGGCTACGTTTTATACCGAAAAACAGCAAATAAATGGATGAAAATGGGAGTGGAAGTTTTTATAGGGAATTAAAATTTTACCATAGTAACCATTGCTTACTATTCAATTTGACATTGTAATTATATCTGTGTCATGATATGAATCGATGACCATATAAACAGTACACTATGGGACCACACGGGCGAAGAAATAGTCTTCCAATGTCTTAATAATATATTAATTTTCCGCCGATTTATTAGTTTTCGAAGCCTTTTAATTTGCCAACCTCTGCGTTTTTACACTAATATTATAAAGAGGAAAGATTTGACTGTTTGTTTGCATTGAATAGGCTGCAAAATTACTGGAATTATTTTAAAAATTCTTTCACCTTCGAGAAATTACATCAAACGCGGATGAAATAGGCTATTATTTACTCGGACGAAATCGCTGAAAAACAGCTAGTAGTAAATAAAATAATTAACATTATTAATTGTCTTTTGTTCTACTAGTCATACAGTTAATTACGTATGGAAAAGATCCTAGGGTATAATTTATTATACGACTTGTGTTGGAATGCCTAATAATAATTAATAATATGCAAAATTTAAGTTAGATCCGTCTAATAGCTTTCATAGACCAATCAAGCAGTCACCTTTGCCTTTTTATATGAGAAATAGAAATATTTTACACGTTTCATATTAATTTCATAGTAGACAATAAGCAGGAGTGCAGATGAAAGCAGTTCATGAAACTCCGGATAAGGATGGTCATAATTATAAAACACCATAACTTCACAGGACTTAATATCTAATCATCATAATCAACGTTTGATCTACAACTTTAACGATAATTCAATGCTTTAAACATTTTTTTTTTTACTGTACTGTCATGACATTTATAGGTATAATATTTATTTTTGTTATTTGTTATGTTATTTATTATTTTTGTATGTAAGCAAAATGTAACGAATTACCAAAAATCATAAATCTTGGTGTTTTTAAATTAATCCTGTATATTTTAGTACAACAAATTTATTTTGACTTACATCACATCCTTGCACATTGAGCACCTCCAAATTGGGACAGTACGTTGCTAGACAGGAAACAGCCCTATCATTTACATTCTTGCAGCCTGCATAGTTAAAACATCAGGTTAGAGGGAAACTCTTAAAATTCAGCAATTATTTTTAGCCTAATAGACATAGATATAGAGGAGGACGAATTTCCAAGAGCGGCAAATATCGAACAATCAGAATGATTTAAGTGTTATGCCATCGCCTGTCTCTCACTAAGTGTGAGTGAGAAGGACACCTAATGCCTCGTATTACCAAAAATCACTGTGTATTTTCTCAGATGTTCAGTCAGCATCAGAATTGGTATATTAGTAGCCACTATAAAATAAATAAATTATTTATGATTTTTTACTTAATGTTTATATGTATTTTAATCAAGTAATCTGTTTAAGGTACTCTTTTGTATGAAATAAGAAAAAAAGTTAAAACCAGCCTATGTTGAGATTTTTGCCGGTTATTCTCAATGCAAGATCTCTAGCCGATAGCGATGGCTTAGTTTCGTATAATACGGAAATACTTCATCGTCATCATCAGTAAATTAATGTCTCCACTGCTTAGTCCTTCCCTATGGATGGAATCGAATCGAATCGGTTCGGAAGAATTAGACATAATAGTCCACGCTAATCCTTCGCGATTTTATTGACAGTAAATGAAGCCGGGACCAACAGGTTAAAGTGATAGGACCAACGTGACTTCCGAAACACGGCGGAGGTCAAGATTTTGGTCAACCATCCTATGACCAGTCTTTGTCAAAGTTGCTTAACTACTGTATCATAGACTCAACGCGCTAACGCGTTTCGTATAATAATTTCTAATATAAAATAACATTAATTTTCTAATGAAACTGCTGGGTTTGTAATATGTATGTAATTGTGTGTAAATGAATAAATGAATGTTATTTACCTCTACATATGAAGCTCTTTAGTTTAGGGCATTCCCTGGCCAATGCTTCTACGCCATTTTCAGTAATAGATTGGCACCAAGACACATTTACGTGTGTCAAAAGCTAAGGGAAAATCGAAAATGTTACTCTTAATGAAAAATACAAAAAAAAAAAATCAAAATCCATCAATGATAATCTTTACAGATTAAAAAAGAATCTCACAAATAGTAAATAAAGAAAATCGCTCAAAAACCGAGAATATTTTTTATGTATTTTTACGTATCGGATCTTTTGCATAGTTCACAGTGACTATTAAATATTAAATAAGCACCAATCACAAATCAGATTGTGTAAGTTATTAAACTAGTATACTCACGGGACATCCATCAGCTAACGCCTTCAAAGATATGTCTGTTATGCTAGGACATGAATCAAGGTTTATCCTGCAAAGAAAACTTTCGTTAAATATTTACAAGAGTCAAATTCCGTTGGCATTGACATTCACAGACTAAATAACGTAAAATATATTAATTAAGTCTCTCGACTCTAAGCTCAAAATAATAATGATCAAATACTTTATGAACTTTATGCTATATTTTTTTACTTTAGTCATTCACTTCGTACATTAAAGTGCCAATGTGTACACATAGCAATTTTAACTCTAATCCCTATAAATAATAAAGTCTACAATGCTAATTAGAACCAGGGTTGTTGCAAATATCAGCATCAGCATCCGCTGATTATCAGCATTATTTTTAATATCAACATCAGAATCAATCGATGCTGATTTTAACATTGACATTCAAGTTGTAACGTAACACGTTCGTTGAAGACTTGAAGGAAAATTCAGAAAATAAGCTGCCACATGTTCGCTCATTAGTTTGTTTTGTCAACATAATTTGCTTGAGGCGAGACGTATTTTTTATATTTTTGCGTAATCAATTAATTACATCGATACATTGAGTTAAAACGTGTCATGATTTCACACCTTAGTACTTTTTATACAAAGTTGTGACGTAGCGAGCCCCCACTCCTTAAGTAAATGCTTATTATGTAAGTCATTACTTGTTAAATTGAAGCAAAAAATAAGTATCTAATTCCTTCTTTTTTACCGAGGCATCATCCTTATTATCACATACTAGCTCTCTCCGTGTTAATCGGTACTTGACTGTTTTGAAAAGAGTATTTTAAATCTTTTATATGATCATATTAAATCACTACAATATTTATTTTTCGTCATTTTACTTGCAAAAAGACTTTACGTTCAGTTTATTGAAATATGACGTCACACGATGCTCCGTCATGGCCGCCAGCATTTAGGTTCTTGTAATTCACTAATTTGAACGGCAAGTTAAAATTTGCAATGATAAAATACACTTAAAATTAATTTAAAAACAACTAATACCATATAATTATTGTTTACATACCATTTCTAACATATTTATAACTGTCAAGGAGCAGTGTAAATAATAGCTTATATCACCCACGTATTTTGTAGATTGCCGTATGTTGTAACGTCCGAGCACATTACTATAGGTAGGGTTTACTCTTCGGACGGTTTATGGTCAAGTGCTGGCCGTTAATATTTTAAATTATTACTTTTTCTTATTCGAATTCGCGTGTTCGTGTTTTGCTGGTGAATAGTCTTTTTTTTCTGATCGAGACCAGCTTAGGGTGAGCATCGTAGTATAATTATTGTAAGTGCTTAACTGTAATTCTTATCAGAAATAAATCAAGACTAAGGAGTGCTACCAGTTTTTTCATTGCGCCACCCACCTCCACCATTAGACTAAGTTGCCATAAGTCGCCATAGTAGGTAGTTAGTAATTTTTAAAATCGGTCAAGTAGTTTCGGTACCTATGCAATGCAGGCAAGGAAATAAACAACTCTTTCATCTTCATAATATTTGGTCATATATCTCGTGATTTACTCAAAATAGCATACCTACCACATTTGGCAATCATTTTGTGGTATATATTTTATTTAAGTAATTAATTAATATCAGCATCAGCATCCGTTGATATAGGAAAAATACGCATCAACAACAACCCTGATTATATTAATTGCATTATAATTATGTTATTTACATAAGATTTTAAATCCATGGAATCAAAAAAAAAAATTAAAAACTAAAAAAATACCGTCATCGAAAAGTACTGTCGTAGTTACAAATAAATATTGGATTATTGCGAAATATATATAATATGAGAATGTAAACACGTGAACAGACAATAAACTGTCAAGAAATCGGTGATATTAAAAATGTTAAAGATAGCAAAAAGACACTCAAAAAAATAAAACTAAACTGGTATTTTTCAAGATCACAGAGCACAGGTCCAAAAACTGCGGTAGACATATCCAACCGGCCACATTGCAAAATGTCCGAATTACAACAGTAAAAACGCAAATCAGTCATATTGCAAAATGACCGGGTTGTTAGTTATGAAGACCTGGACAGCTGATACCGCCATCTGACGGTGACATAGAAAATTGACTCTACGTGTCAAATAGAAAAGATTTGTATATAAAATTACACACATATTATGGGAAATATAAATAGTTAGCTAATGTTTAAAGTCTTAGATCAAACATTGTTATAGATATATATTTTAATATACTACGCAATCACTTTTTTGAGGATATTAAATAATTTACAAGAGCTCAATAGCTTGCGCAGTTGCGCAGTGAGCGGTTTGCGATTCGGTGGTTAAGCAACAATTGCAAGAGACAGTCATAGGATGGGTGACCAAAAATTTATTATCTCGAGCTTCCGAAGGCACGTCAAGCCGTTGGTCTCTACTGCATACTATGCAGTCGTTAACCTCTCCCATCCACCCTGAACCCACGTGGTGTATCATGGCCCATTCTATAGTTGCTTCCATCAATAGGGCCTGTGCCCCAACCGTGGCATTAATAGGTTGTTGAAGATGTGATGGTGAAATAACTAAAATAACACACCTTTGTAATTTGTTGCACCTCCTGCCCAAAGCTTGGCAAGTCTGATCTGTTACTTTCTTGCATTTATTCAGGTTCAAATCTTCTATGTTCGGACAAGACTGTGAAAAAAGACACTGATGATTTAGATCTGTACGGTATTATACGATCGAGACATGAAAACTTATCTAAAACACTTAAAGTAGATGGCGCTAATAGAGTTGGTGGTCATTTCAGTTGTCAAAAGGATGATTTCTTTATTGAAATTACTTGATATACATGTCAATCAGCTAACTGTGTAATGGTGTATGGACAAATTGAAAAATGAGTTGACATTTAGGGTAATAATTTTTCTACTTTTGCAGATCTATATCTCATTTGTTTTTTGATAGTTTTGATCTAACAAGTGTACACAATCAAAGTACTATTTCGGCCACCATAGCTACTGATATTCACAATCAGTTGCGAAAATGGAATTTTTAGTCTTCTTTGGTAATTTATGTATTTTCTTCATGACGACCTCCGCGGCCGGTTTCTATTCACGGTCGGGTCAATGTAGAAAATGTACATTTCTATAATGTCGGAGTTGTATTTTTTTTGTTTCAGAATGCCATATTACAAATGCTTTAGGTAATCTGAAGATCTACTCCAGTTGCAGTTTATTCGAAAACAAAATTCATTTATTTTCCAAACGCTAATATGAATCTAAAGAAAAATATTTTTCGGTAATTTATGATGCAACGCAGGTAGGACTTGACAATATCTCTGATGCACAGATAATTTTATGGTCAGGATTTTAACAAAACTAAAGAAACTATTCAAAATTATTCGAATTTTCGATTGAGGACAAAAAGAGTAGGCCGATATGTACGAGTATATTATTCAATATTTTTTTTATTGCGCTAATATGTTTAACGTTTGACCTCCAATTATACTAGCGCCCACTAGCGGGCGCAGAATAATCCATCACTGCTATTAGAACGCCCCGTTAGACTTACTTGAGCCAAAGTTTTCATGGAACCGTCGGCTATACTCTCACAACCTCGTAGCGACAGTTGCCTGAGAAAACCACCACATCTTTGCGATATATTCTCTATTACTGGTCCCTGGAAAAAAAGGTTCACACAACTTTTATAATGATCGAAAACTATGGTTAGTTTTTTGTATTCTATTTGATGTCTTTTGTTTTATATTTACTAAGTAACTACGCCCACAGGATTACACGATTTTTAAACCTCTATTCAACCTTTTAGGAGTTGAATACTAATATTATAAAGAGGAAAGATTTGATCGTTTTTTATTTACATTTAAATAGGCTTCAAAATAATGCTCTAGATCAATTTTAAATATTCTATCACATACGGATATCACCGGGATACGATGCAACCCCTGTAATATAGACTATTAACAGTTGGTACCAACTATAAGCGTGCCCAATTTCAGCTAGATCTGTCCACTAGTTTGAGCTGTACGTAATAGATCAGTCAGTCAGGTTAATTGATTTTTATATTTAAGACGGACGAATGGCAGGACGGACAAGTACGTGATTAATTCTATAAGGATTACCTTTGTTCATATTCAAATTAGAAAACAAATGTGACCAATATTTGTTTTTTTATTCAAGCAGCTTTTTTTATATACTATTAAAAAGCTTTTTATTTTTAACTAAAATGAATCTCTCCTTACCTCAACGTCTCTCTGAAATTCGAATAAATCTATCCTTTGCCAGTTGGATCCATCTAAGGCGAGGATGTTCCATAGCTTTGAAACCTAAAATAAAAAATGCTTTAAAGAATATTTATCAGTATAGCACTGTGAATGCAAAATTGATCAAATATAATAATTAGAACAAACTTTCATCTTTATCGAAAGTTTAAATATTTGTAAAAATATTTCTTTCGGCTGTTTGGGAGGATTCCCTGAACATTGATGAAAATACGCTCTGTAGTAGCGAAAAAGTAACAAGTGCTTGAAAAATTTGTCACTCCTTAGGTCCTGGGGAGCTCAGTGGTTAGAGCAGTCGCCCGGATTGTAAAAGGAGCGCATGTGGTCGAGTCCCATCTCAGAGTGCCAGAGACAAAGAGGATTTAAGATTTAAGAATATTTTTTCAGTAAAGCATTGTGAATGCAAAACTGATCATATATAACAATCATTATTAGATTTTAAATCGTCTTTTACAAGGAACATAGTGACAATTTCTTAATTAATGCAATATTAATATGGTATATAACTGATGGATTAAACGAAGTCATCAAATTGAGTTTGGATCTTGATAAGGACTTGATATCCCAGATTCTGATGATGGAACTAGGTGATCGTGGCAACTTTGTAATTGAAGAATGCAATCTGTATAGACATACAAGGTCTCCCTTCCCCCTTCCTTCACCCATGATAAGATTACTTGCTTAGAATTGATTTTGCTTGACATATGAACTTCAGTTGGGCGATATCAGGGAAAAATTACCTAAAGTTCAAGAATCAATTAATTTATGTAGACGGCTGATAAAGTTATCAAGTTATACAAAGCTCTCCAATTTTTCCAATCGCTACATAGTATAAAAAAAAGTCGCTTACTCTGTCCCTATATACCTATGTATGCTTAAATCTTTAAAACTACGCAACGGATTTTTCATAGACAGGGTGATTCAAAAGGAAGGTTTTTATGTATAATACAAGACCACGCTGGCGAAGCTGCTAGCGGAAAGCTATTTCACTATAAACCTTATTAGTTGTAAATTTTGTATATGCATATAACCAACAATATAATTTCTTTATGATTGAATCATGAATTGAATCATGTTCTATTTTAGTATTGTTTACCGTTTTCCCGATTAGTCAACGGTTCTCCTAAATTCATTTAATTATATTCCCATTGAACCGTTGTTACGCACCACACATAAAGCAGAGTCTATACAATGTTTAAAGTCTATCAGTACTACTTATAAACAAGGTCTAGCGTCAAAGGAAATTTACGCTAAAATTGCAAATTTAGTATTAGTCCATATTCATATTACACAGAGAATAAGCAAATCTACTACTTTCTAGGAGCAAATATTACTCCCGTAGAACCTCGTACTAGGTAACCTTTGTTAAGTCTCTGTTTAATATGAATTTTGACTAATACAAAGAGCAATCTCAGCGTAAATTTACTCCAACGCTAAACCTTGTTTATAAGTAGCACTGTATGATACTAAGATTATAAACAAAATGAGACAAATACGACTTAGTACCGTCGGCAAAGAAATAATGATCGTACATTCTAGCAATATTCAAAAAAACTATTACACAAAAAAGATCACTTTATTTAGATCAATTTTTAACGCGTTGTTGAGTGTAAAGCCGTTTGCTTTGGGTTGACCGTAGTAGACTGTTACTAAATGATGTTACAGGCACATCAACTGGTACCGTCGGCAAAGAAATAATGATCGTTTTTATACTTGACTAAGGATTAGTTGCACCAACTAACTTTAACAATAAAAACATGTTAAAGTTAAGCAAATAATAATAAGATAACATTTGGTAATGGCTGGATGACATTATAACTTTCACTGTACACCGCCGTTTTGCTGATTAAAGTTATTGTTTTGCTATGTCACGAAAGAGGTTGGTGCAACGCATTTCACAGTCAATGTTAGAGTCAGCGTGACAAATAGTATCAAATTTGACATAAATTTTAACTGCAATTATAGTGCAACCGAGAGACGAGAGTTATTTTTTTTATGGTAGATTATAAAACTTTACAAAATAACTGTACAAAAAAAAACAATTCATTAAAAAAAAAGAAAGTATAATATTGGCCGGCACAGACACATGTACGTCGTGTCGTTGCTAACGGTACTCAGAGGGTCTGCCTGAACGAGCGGTGCGGTGAAGCGATCAGGGTGGCAGCAGCTAACTCTTAACGGTTAGTACATCTCTGTACTTACCTGTGCACATCTGCATAATGAGACGACATCCAAGTAGGACAGTATCTTCAATAGCAATTCCTTGGGCAGTTTCTTGTTTATGTGATTGTCATCTTCACCCGAAAACCGGGATATCTGCAAATTAAAAAGCATAAATTATTAGAGTACTATATGTATTATATGTAATTGTATGTTAGAGTATTATATCTTGATTATTGGCAAGGATAATAACCTCCATGGTTGAATAGTTTGCACACCGGTTTAAAGGTATCTAATGTTGAGTGTATGTAGTTAATGAACTTTTTTATAGATAAAATAACAAATCCAAATATCATATTTATTATCTTTCTGAATAACAATAATATTATTTACATTCTTTGTGACAATGTTATTGATATACTAGACAAAACATGATAATTAAAGTTCATCCTCTTATCTGAATAGGAATAAATAAAAAAAAGTAATTAATAACTCCATTAAGATTATGTTGACAATCATAAGAAAAACGTAGGTAATATGTTTTAATAATTACTTATGAAATTTTCAACCACTTTTCTTCTGGCAGTTCAAAATAGTATTGGGTAAAATTTGGTATAAGTATTTACACATTACACAGACTTAAACACAGCTATTTAAATCAGTTCCAAGTCACATATGGAACTTGCATACCCTTAAGCAAGTAATTCAGCAGAGGACTTGATTTACCTATATAACATCTCTACCTCATAAAATGATGTAAAATTCTTGTTTGAGATTTCTTTGGTTTTTTTTTTTTAATATTGTAATGTAAAGTACTTTGCTGTGTGAATCAGTCATTTTGAAATAAGTTAGTATGAAATAAGGTAGATAGAATAAAGTAGCCAAGTTTTCTTGGTACAAGATGTCCCACTGAATATTTGAGAAGCGAAGCATAAATGTTGAAGTACTACTTACAAGTACTTTCACATTTACAAGTGCCAGTAACAGTCTAGGCTGAATAAATAAAATTGAGTTTGATGATAAAGTTCATTAATATCCCAGAATAATAGTCACTTTTTTAATTTTAAGGCTGGGATAAAATATATAGCATTTGGGTGCTGACAGAATTTCTCAAATCAAACAAGCAGTATTAGAATTTATAAAAAATAATCTTCATATTTTTTATGTGTTTCAGGAATATGGTAGAATTCTGCAGTAGAAATCTTTAGTTTACACAAATCACATCCAGTCCATTCCCAGAGGGATAACTAGATTAAACCACTAGTAACCGTACCTTTATTTTTTATTACAAAGTTCCTGTGAGACCCGACTCAGTCAAGTTGGGGGCTTTAGATAGGAAAGCTCCCACCTTGACTGTGTTGGTTCTCATATAGAAAATATTTACTCTTGATAGTTTTACTGTAGCGCTGAATGTAAAAAAATAAACACTTTAAATGCTATAAAACATAATCAACAGAATATCAACGAAAGAATATAGTACTTACTGCTCTGTTTTTAAGATCGTAAAAAACGGACGAATTTAACGGTACACAAACACGGTCGATGATCGTCACAAGAGGTCAACACACTTACCAACAAAGAGGAATGACTCAAAACGTGTAGCCTGCGACGTGCGAATCTTATAGATAATGTAACATTGAAATAATACGTATGTAAAAAATCGTACGAACGACGCTACGACGCTAACATTTATAAATAGTATCAGCTTTGTTTATTGTAGTTTCAAAGCCACGTTTGGGTCACTAAAAATATATTAACATACCATTTTACCGGTCGTAAACGTGAAATATTAAGTTACGAGAACAAAGAGAGTTTGCCAAGCACCTACGCGGTGTCAGCTGTTTTCCATCAAAATGAAAACAAACAATTTTATTTAGAATCGATTCTTACTTCGAATTTATTCCTTCCGGAATAGGTCATGTTAGGGTACGGTGTCACCTTGGCCACAATGTAAAATTTCACTCGCACACCGGCACTGAAATTCACAATTTTCGCGATGGTAGTAGTAGTAAACTTCGTCCGCGAAGGACAGGCGAAGGCGATTGAGCCATACTGCCAGATCTTCCGTGTTTATTTCTTTTCTTTTATTTTATGTACGCATCAAGTCTGTAATATTGGTTAAATTTCTCCAACAGTAGAATTAATAAAATTATAAACAGGAATGAAGTTTTCTGGGTGTGATAGAATTTCTTGAAGAGAGGGCGGGATGGTCTTGGAAGTGTCTAAAAGCTGATCTATTAGTAGTAAACGTTGTAAATTGAATGCAGGACATGTGAAGAAAATGTGTTCCAACGATTGATCTTCTTGTAATGAACATTCAGTGCAAATCGGGGATGTTATAATGCGCATACGGTGCAAGTGAGCCTTAGACCTACAATGTCCAAAACGCAATCTGGTTATTTGCGTATAAAATTTCCTTTGCAGATAGTCCTTGGAGACGGCAAACCATGGTTTTCGTCCAACTTCTTTATTAATGCTTGCATACCAGGTTCCTTTTGACTGAGTTATTATGACATTTTCTTCATTCCATTGCTGATTAATTTTATTACTATATTCAGGTAACAAATCTTGCCAAGAAACAGGTATATCTTTTATATTACCTCCCGTTGTGTTTGTTAGACGGGCAAGGAAATCGACTTTTTCGTTACCCGCCACACCAACATGTGCTCGCGTCCATATAAATTTTACGTCTTTTTGTTTTGTCATTGTCAGTTTGTTTAAAATTTCTCTGATTTCATAAAGTAAATAATTATTATTTTCAAAACCTGAGCGATTAAGGGCTTTAAGTACAGACATACTGTCGGAGACTATAAGAAAATTGTTTTTGTTAGAACAGATAATGTCAGTTTCAATATATTGTAAAGCCAATAAAATTGCCATTGCTTCAGCCGAAAATATACTGAGGATAGCTGGTAAACGGTAGCCTTTGCCATATTTCATTTTACTATGATAAAATGCTGCTGAGACTCCAAATTCACTTTTCGAACCATCAGTGTAAATTACTTCGTGTTCTGGCCAGGTATTTAACATTTCATAAACATCTTGTTTTGTTTGCAATGCGGTGTTTATAACCGTTTCAATTGAGGTAAATTTGCTTTCATATGAGCCACTATAGCAAGCCCAATGTTCATCAGAATAAATATTATATTGATTAATAAATGTTATTGTTTCATTGAGATCATGTAAAATATATGGATATTTAGAATTTGATGAAGATGTTATTTGGGGTAGATTCTGACGTAATTTATTTAAAAGCGGTTGATTGTTTATTCTATAGAGCTTAACTATAAACTTAAATTTTAAATATTTGAATCTTATTAATAGAGGGGGAATATTACATTCTATTTGCATAGATATTATAGGTGTTGTGTTCATTGCACCTGTGATGAGTCTAAGGTTTTTATTTTGGATTTTTTCCAGTTTATCAATGAGATGATGATTGGAGGAGTAACACATAAAGCTGTACTCAAAGTGAGCACGAACTATAGATTTATATAACATTAACAAGATTTTTGGATCAGCACCCCAATAAGTGGAAGCCAATGATTTCAAGATGTTGAATGCTTTTAATGCTCTGTCTGCTAAAACTGAAACATGTTTGACCCATGATAAATTTCTCATAAATGTAACTCCTAAAAATTTTGCTTCTTCACTAACTGGAAGTGAGATACCATTATAAAGGATGTTGGTAAGTAACATTTTAGATTTATTGAATACTACCACACTAGTTTTATTTTGGTTAACTTCTAATTTCAAGTAATCAAAGTAAGCTTTCAATTTTACCAATGCAGTATTAAGTTTTTTTTCAATTTCTTGAATACTTTTGCCAGCACAGTAGACTGTGAGGTCATCAGCAAATTGGAGATTACATATTTCATTACCTAAAACATTATTTAATTTGTAAATGTACAAAATAAATAATAAGGGACTTAATATTCCTCCTTGGCAAACACCTTTGTTTGACTGCTGTGGACCAAATAAATTATTTTTAAACCTGACATAAACTTTACGGTTGTTTAAGAAATTAAAAATCCATTTGATTAATTTTGCAGGTAACCCAAGAGATGCTAATTCATTTACTAAAACAAGATGGTCGACATTATTGAAGGCACCTGTTATGTCAAAGAAAACACAAATTAAGAAATTATTCTTAGAAAAAGCATTATTTATATCAAGGTATAAGTGACTCAAGCTTTCAACAGCTGATCGCCCTTTTCTAAAGCCAAATTGATTATAAGATATTAAATGATTATGTTCTATATAGTACTCAAGTCTTTGCTTCAATAACTGCTCAAATAATTTTCCTGCACAGGATGTTAATGCTATTGGTCGGTAGGAGTCATGATGACCACTACTTTTTCCTGGTTTAAGAATAGGAATAAGACAATCAACTTTCCAAGATTTGGGGATTATTAAATTATGCCATAGTAGATTGAAAATATTAAGAACAATTTGTAAACTGGATGAATTGAGATTTTTAAACATTTTATATGAGATATTATCTAGACCAAAAGCTGTATCCTTTCGAGAATGAATGGCACTTAACAGTTCATTAAGTGTAAATGATTTCATAAAAAAATTGTCAACATTTGATATGTGATTACAAATACTGTCACTTAAAGTTTGACTATTAGTATTAGATGTGTATTTATCTAAGAATGCCTGTATCCAGTTGTTGTTGTTCATGCCACTGGATGAAGGAATGTAGGTTTTATTAAATTTTCTAAGGTTAGTCCAAATAGTTGACAAAGGAGTATGACGACTAAAAGTATTACAAAGATCCGACCATGCCTTTTGTCTTTCTTGTTTAATAATAAGTTTCTTTTGTGCTTGCTTACTTTTAAATAAAATGTAATTTTGTTCAGTAGGGTTTAGTTTAAATTGTATATAAACATTTTTACAACTATCCACAGCCTTTTTGCAAATATCATTCCACCAGGGCAGATTTAATTTCTTTTTATTTTTGTATTGTATATTTTGAAATGATTTTTTAGTTGAAAGATTTGCATCAGATACACATTGTAGTAAATTATTAATTAGCATCTCATAACACACATCTGGATTGTTTTTATCAAAAGCACATGCACTTAGTTTTATATCTGCCAATTTAGTATATTTTTTCCAATCTACTGTTCTATAATTTGGTCTAAAATAATTTACACCACAATTGTTATTATTATTATTTACAGGATTCAGTAATAGACTAGTAAGGACTGGGAGATGGTAACTACATAAGGGGTCATCGTGCACCTGCCAGTTACATCTTAAAGCTAAAGTGGGAGAAACTATTGTCAAATCTAAAGCATTTGGTCGCCAGTTGTGGGAACCAACTGTTGTTACTGATCCATCATTTAAAAGACATAGATTGTTATCATTTATAACATCCAACAGAGTAGAACCACGAGTGTCAGTTGATGTACAACCCCACATAGTGTGATGTGCATTAAAGTCACCAGCTAATATTAAAGGATTTGGTACAGATTTCACTAGATTGTCCAAATATACGTAATTAAAATTTGAAGGGGTAGCAGAAGAAGGGCTATAGAAACTAATTATAGATAGGGATTCATTATTGATTTGTAATGTGATAGCAATATTTTGTAAGGAGCTATCATAATATGTTTGTATTCTTTGATAATTTAAGTAATTTTTAATTAAGATAGCAACACCATTATGTTTTGAACCAATGTCTAATCTTTCAATTTTATAACCTTTTATATTAAAAGATTTCGTACTCTGTAACCAAGTTTCAGATATAAGAGCAATATGTATTTCATTTTCATAAAGGTACTGTGAAAAAATATGTTTATGATTAAGCAAACTCTGAGCATTCCATTGTACTATTCTTATAGACGTGTGATCCATAAAAAATAAATAGGTAAGGGAATTCCTATGTAAGTGATTGTTTGTTTAATGTTAATTTATTTTCTTTCATATTTGTCAGAAGAATGGTTTTAATACTTTCAGAATTTATAGGAGTTTCATTTAATTTATTTTCATGTATGACTTTGACAATTGTTGATATAAGGATATTTAAACATTCATCAGATTCTAAATATCCGGAAATATTTTCTGAATTAGAGATACTAGTTTTATGTCCTTTACTATTCAAAATAGGGAAAGCATTATTGTCAAATAAATTAACAAATGGTACAGTTTTTTGTTTTATTTGGTTTTCTTGTATTTTCTTCTTTTTGATGGGGCATTGGGCAGAAATTGCTATGTGTTTGCCGCTGCAATTTACACAAGTGGCTTCGTTACTGTCTTTATTGCAATCTCTATAAGAATGGCCTTCACCACAGATTGAACATCTCTGAGAATTTTTGCAATATTTTGCTATATGACCGTATCTGAGGCATTTAAGGCATTGTGATACTGGCCTAACATACTGAGTTACATCAAAGAACCATGAATTTATATCAACATGCGTTGGCAATATTGGACAAGCAAATGTGATAGCTACCGTTTGTGTTGGAAATAGCGTTGGTTTGCCATCGTCGTCCTTTCCACGCCGCATAAATCTGCGCACTGAAACTACATCCTTGGAGCTGGTCAAACCTGAATAAATGGTTTCATTGGACATATAAGTAGGTACATTTCTTATTATACCAGTAGATTCGGTAAGAGCAGCTGGGATAGAGGCTCTCACTTGCAAGTCTTTTTGAATTTTTAGATTATTTAGCGCTAAGTTAGCTAGTCCCGGTCGTTCAAATATTGCACCTATCTTGTATTTGTTTATTCTTTGGAATCTTTTTATTCCTTTACATTGTCGTTTTAAAGCAGTCCCAAGTGACATAAGATCTCTATCACCTATGGGCTTGCCTGAGTCAACACTTTCGTATAATACTGTATATTCAAAGTTACCGCCTTCCTCGGGATACTGCCGTGAATAGTTTTCGACTTTGAAAATTAAGTATTTATTATTTTCCAACGAGGAATCAGAATGTCCCTCGTCGCTATCACCAGACTCTGCTTCCGCCTTTCTTTTTTTTCTTTTGGTCTTCATTTTAATAGGAAAATTTAGATGGAATTTAAAAAACCTTTTGGGAGACAAATTTAAAACACCCGCCTAATTTGACTTCCCGCCAAAAAGTCCTTTTCGCGATGGTCTACACGACAAAACAAAGGAAATATGGAGGATTTCGTAATATTTTTTTTCTATTTTCTTGGACTACGAGCGAAGAGACGTCTTTATGCCTTGATGTTCGTTCAAAAACCACGATATCACAACAGAGTTGCATAAATATGTTTTACTTTGTTTTTAAAAACTTTTATCAGAACTGTTTTACCGATTGATAAGTAAAAATTAAGAAAAAGATTTCTAAGTTTAATACATTCTGGCAGATATATTTTTTACCAGTGATGTCAACGCCGAAACATAGCCGAATGAAACTGATTTTTATCACAGTTTCAAAACGTAGTTAAGATGACATTAGCAATTTTGTGTTGCTATATCTAAATCTATATTTCCCTGTAAGTGTAGCGTTAAAAATGTTTATGAATTTTAATGATTTCCGTCACAAGAGGGATTCACATGCAAGATGTCGCCATCTTTTTGATCTCTTCGCTTACAGTATGCATAAACTTGTAATTGACAAGTTTATGACATCATGAAAAGTATAAATTTTAAAGAAGGTAACTCCAACGGCGCACTTCAACTAACAAAATGATTTTCATTTGTTTTCTTACTGTGAATGAGTGAAGAAAATTAAAATTTTCGATACATTTTTAAATTTTATTACAAAAAGAGGTAAAAATGTAGCGCAAGCCATGAAAAATAATTTTGCCTTTTATGGACTTAGTGCAGTTTCTATGAGAGTAGCACAGGTTAGCGTTTGAAATTTTGATGTCAAAGGTGCACGTTGCTCCAGTCGCCCTGCTACGGATAAAATGGATGCCATTTTTGAAAAAGTGGAACAAAATCGGCATATTAGTACTTACGACGTAGCTGAAGAACTGGGGATTGGCCACAAAACATTTGACGCATTTGAAATAAGCTAGGTACACAAAAAAGTTGCATATTTGGCATGCATATACCTCACGAGGTCACTGAAAGTAACCGTGTACTCATTTGTGATTCTTTATTACGATGTAATGAAACCGAACCATTTTTGAAAAAGATGATAACTGATGCTGAAAAGTGGATCGAGTACGACTAGATCTTGCGAAAAAGGTTGTCAAAGGTCGGTCAGGCTTCACAGACTGTGGCGAAACCCGGCTTAGCTCGCAACAAGATAATGCTGTGGGTATGGTGGGATTGGTACATCTTTTGCCACTCAGTAAAAATTAATATAGTTTGGCTGGGAGGTGTTTATGCATTCGCCGTATATTTTTGACTCTTAGATTTCCACCTGTTTCAGTCTCTTCAGAATCTTTAGGCAGCGTCAGGTTAAAATCACGCGAGAACTGCCAAAACCACTTGTACCTACTTTGTCAAATGTAAATAAACTTTATTATTCATTTTTTGAATTTTCTTATAAAATGCGGATTTAAACTCCGGAGGTTGTGTACCTACTACCTTAGTGGCCGAGAGGCTCGCAAGTCAGTTTAAGGTATCGCCTCTCTGACGTCCCGTGTTCGCTTATCGGTCAAGTCAATGTAAAAAATACACTTTTCTGTAATGTCTTTATTTTGGGTTTTGTGTTATCTCATATCTGTTGTTTCAGATTACCGTAATACAAGTGACATTTAACGCGTTTGCGCATTTTCGTAGAGTTTTGGACATTATTCCTTTGTCGACGGTATAAGTTGATGCACCTGTGATGTCATATATCTAATAACGGTCGTCGAAGGCCATCTTGAAGCAAACTGCTAGTATACTGATACCATATACTTTTTCTCACATTTTAACCGCAAAACAATTAAAAATTAAGTTTAGTTTCATAGAACAGTAAGTGCATATGTATTATGTTCAATTTTCATTCCATCTAATATACTCATATACTCACAAGGCGCATTAACTCAAGAGAAAATTAACCAAAAGACAGCTGATATAACCTCTAACTTACTGGCGCTTTTTACTTTTCAGATTGATTGCCATTGAGATATTCTACAGATTTTTTTTTCAAAAGTCTTTTGGCAAATTTAACTTTCTGCGTAGGTATAGCGGCGTGCCATATTTGTAATATATAAAGGTAGTTGTAAAAACGATAAAGTGAACTGTAACTAGAGCTATAGTCGGTATCACTTTAGCGTTTTTTTTCTGTCGCCCTTGTCTGTTGCTCAAAACATTTTGCTAGAGTGAGAAGGATAGCTAGTTGCTATCGCTTCAAGGATTCCGCGGCGTACTATCGCATACCCTCTATCTTTCTCACTCTAACAAATAATAGTTCTGAGCGATGTAAAAGGAAGAGGCGACGGAAACCTGCAATGCCGTGCTGTCGATTGTTTTATATATTATAATAAAACACATACAAGGATAGTTTTAAAAAAATGTACTACTTTCTCGTTAGAGCGTAAAAATGTTCTAATACTATTGTGACAATCTTAAAATTCCGCTAAATAGACTATAATTTCAAAACCATGCTTCCAAATAATCGATTCATCTATGTATGCAAATATAGAATGTAGTTGTAAAAATCTATATGTTACTCAAACATTAATTATTACACAGAAGTTGGTTTAATAAATGGATCAGCTATGGGTTGGTCTATTTTTTCGAATGGATAATACGGATGATCCTGCCAAAACGAGGGCAGAGTAAATCTAGTGTGACTATCGAATGCATAAATTTTGTCCATCTCTTCCTTAGAGAGGGAAAAGTCAAATATGTGGATGTTGTCCGACTGGCGCTTCGCGTTTACACTTTTAACCACTGGAACAATTTTTCTATCAACCTGGAAAAAAAGAAAAATAATAATTGTGAGAGTTTTGATATACTTATGTCGTTAACTTTATTTTCAATAAATCGCTCCGCATCCTCGAAGGATCCGTTAGGCGATTTGAAACACGCTATCTTTCCCGCTCTAGCGAGCTACCAAAAGATGAGGTGACTGAAAAGGAGATACTATGCTGCTTTGTGCTGCCCTTAAAATATCTACTCTTTATGTACTATTGTGCTCTTTATCTATTAGGTACGAAAAGTGAGTGGAGAACTTCAGTGTGGGCTAAACTATTATAGACTCTTAATTGATCTCTAGTTGTGTTTATTTTTGTGTATTCTCTAGTGTAGTACGTGAGTAATAAATAATAATAATATATCAAATCAAATTTTTTCTTTCGCGCGATTTCTGTTCCTTGCTTTCATTGGTTGTCCATCGTTTTAGTAGCCAGTGAGATGAGCGCACAGAGGTCGCCTGTACTCCGCGTGCTGACCCCATCGACCAATATAAATAAGTAACTATAGATCATAGGAACTTCACTTACCAAGCACCTCAATACAACTTGAGGAGTGGTCTTCTTATAATTATTAGCAATTTCCGTCAGTACTGGATCATCCATTTTCGGTCCAGGCAACTGCATTCCAAATCTAGGGACAAGTGATCCCAATGGGCTGTAAGCCATGACAACTATACCATTATCTTGGGCAAATTGTACAAAATTTGTCTGGATTATCTGAGGATGGATCTGAAAAATAAATACAGTTTCTAGTTTGTTTGTTATAACCTGTCATACAATGTCATTTATTGAGCCGAGCTTACATGTTTAATGATTTGGGTTACTGAGTGATGTAAAAGTCTGTAATATATAATAATGTGAATCCAATACCTCTATCTGTAGAGCCACTGGCTTCACAGTTGCCTCCTTTAACAATCTTTTGAGCTGCTCTTCATTAAAATTTGAAACACCGATAGATTTTGCCAAACCTAGCTTCGATGCATCTTCCATACCACGCCATGTTTCCATGAAGTCCACGTCAGAATAAGTGTAATCCTTCTAAAAATAGATAATTTACTATTATTAATAACGAAAATTTAATTGAACTTCTTTAAAGATAAATATATCACTATGAATTTATGTTGTTGGTTATTTCTTGCAAATCTAGGTAATATACCACAATAGTGGCTATACAAATACGAAAAGTTATACAAAACTGTCTTTCTCTAAACGTTAAAATATAAAGATTATTCCTGTGTATCTTATTGAGCCCGGCAATGAGATACATATGGACAGAAGTTTTTTATTTTATTTGTATGGACAGAAGACAAGAAAGGTAATAAAACAAGAAATTATAACTATTAATGGAAAGATTGATGAATTTTAAGGTAATCATTGTTTTTTTTCTATAGATTTTTTTTTAAATAAATAGTTTTTTCGTTTTGAACACCATACAGCTTATTTCATTGTGCAAAACCAGTTGAAAATTAACAATTTTAAGCTTTAACTTTAGTTTTGCGTGTAGATGAACATCACGAAATAGCTTTTTAAGTTACTCTTAAGATTCTCATTTTCCACCTAAATATTAAAAAGTCATTCGTAGAAAATTAATTTTTTTTATTCGTTTTATACCTGACATCTCTTTTTTTCTAGGTTTAACATAATAATCAATTTTATTTATAATAACTTACATTCAAACCAATAGGCCAGTGCATCAAGTAGAGGTCAACGTAGTCAGTTCCCAGGTTCGCGAGAGATTCTTTGAGAGCTGTTAACACTTCATCTCTTTTGTGGTGCGTATTCCACAACTGAAAAATAACAACGAATAGTAACAACGTTCTTTTATGTTTTTCAATAATATTCTTGACTACCTTGAATTATAATACCTAGTACACCCCCTCACCCTTCAATTCCAGTTCTTCATACGTTCATGCACAAGACCCATACGTAAAAATATTTTTACGACGAACATTCGATATTTCGTGTCTTTATCAATTCATTCCGACTACGTCTGAAGTATTAACAATAGTAAAATGTTTACAGAAAATATACACTCGTGTTATTTGCCTCATATTGCACAGTACCACTTTCGTAGTCAACTGGGCAACAATTAAAGGGCTAGATGCTCACTTGGTTGGATGTCTGTGGATCTGTTATCTGCAGGCGACATGGTCGCATCACACTATTCTTATAAATGTATATATAAAAGTGAACAATATTTTACAAACCTTAGTCGTGATAAATATTTCACTTCTCCTCACATCTCCACTATCGATCTTCATTTTAATAGCTTCCCCTATTTCCTGTTCTGTATCATATATGGCGGCAGTATCGAAATGACGGTAGCCCAGGTCAATGGCGTTCAAAACGGCATCACGAAGTTGTTTGTTCTCTGACTTAATTACACCATTCTGTAATTCGAATACGATACCATATTTTCAGTAATTGTAAATATTTATTATGTAGCTTTTGAAATTAGAAGGGGGGGGGGGGGGGGTAATAGTTTTTTAGTATAGTAAATTGTTAAAGATTGATTCAGATGCATCCCATACCCGTTCCAAAATCTAAAATTATGTTATGTGTATTTTTAATCAATTTAAAAAATTTTAAGTTTACTTGTAATAAAAAAAAAAACTTTAATTAAAAAGTATAACAATGGTTATTATACAAAATATTAAGTCAATGATGTTTAATGATCGATCTACGTCTCAATGTCATTGTGCAATTAAATTAATCCAAAGGAAAAAAGTTAAACGATACATAGTTTCATTATTATACATGTATCAACTCAAACAGGCAAGGCAGTAAGTACATTTGTGTCTATATGTAGGTAAGTAAGTCAGTTAGATGCATGTAAGATATATAGATATATATTTCTTACATATTATAAAACAATCACAGCCTGCTCTTACCATTGTATCACAAATAGACAGAGTAACTTGAACTTGTCTTATAAATTAAATTCAAAAGGATTTATAGAGCCATTTTACGTTATGGAAACTACATAATTGGATATAATTTGCTGATAGAAAAGATACATAAAAAGTCAAGTCTACTATTATTAATATGAAAAATAATCGGGTTTTAACGTACCTTATCAAATCCAAGATAAGTGCCAAGGGCTATTCCTGGCATTTCATGTCCGTTGCTCAATTTGACTTTTACCACTTTTTCAGCTGTAGTAATCACCTGCACAAGTTTTGGTTTCTTAAAAATAGAACCTACAATATTCATTTTAAAAATTAGATAGTATATTAAAGTTAATTATAAAAACTAATATTTTTAGTTTTATTTAGATAAACACGTTGTAAAATTAAAAAGTAGATAGTAATGCCTCCGATAATTTTTGTAGGTAGTTTGAAAATGTTTAACCGATAAGAAATATAGTGAAGTCATTTCAAATAAGTCAAAGTTAGCAAAATATGTAGGTAGGTAGTAAATAATCACATCTAACAAAATTCTGTTTAATTATAAGCAATAAACATTGCTAAGAATTGATCTAAAATCCTTTGGACAACTTTATTTATGAATAAACTACAACAAAGTAGGTACATAAGATATATGGCAACACTGTTTTATCCTTGCTGTAGTAGTTTTCAGTTTTAAACAATATCAAAGACATTTTAAACATTAAACCGAAGGATTAAGATCAATATGAACCAATCAACGTTTTAGCTTGGTTTTGCAAGATTTTTAGCTGTATAAAAATATTCTATTTATTTGATTTTTGAATATCTATAATTTAATATTAAAATGTTGTGTTTGTAAGACCTTCTGGGTACTGATTGTCTTTTTTGTTATTCTTTAAAATATCAAAAAGAATAAAATACTACTAAAAGATGTAAGTTTCTTGCAATGACCGTTTGTACTAAATTAAAGAGACAGAGAGAGACAATATAAAATAAAAAACAATACCGAGTCCAGGAGCCAACATAGAATAGGTAATTTTCCACGTTGTCTCGACGGGGAATCATATTCGGTACCACGAGCCACTGTGCCAAGCCACTGTCGGGTACTGTGTTTTACATCTTTCTTTAAGGTTTCCATTATACAAGAACTTGGATACTGACTTTAACTATTCTTATATATCTAATGTAATATTTAATAACTATTTTTCCGTGACACCCGAATATTATACGCTATGCTACCCGTGTTGCGTTACTAGCATTCAGTAGTTTCGGAGCCTGTTCAATGCAAACAAACAAACAAATCTTTCCTGTTCTTAATCTATATAAGTAATGAATCGCTTCCGTATAACTATGTTACGGTATATAATTATATCCCTAGGGATATAACTATATTACGGCTTTATCTATCTTACTGCAACATATATATAACTCGAAGTTGACTGACTGACATATCTATCAACGCACAGCCCAAACCACTGGACGGATTGAAATTTGGCATGCAGGTAGATGTTATGACGAAGGCATCCGCTAAGAAAGGATTTTGATAAATTCTAACCCCAAGGAGATAAAATAGGGGATGAAAGTTTGTATGAAACTTTGTCCATTTTAAACCGATCGGGCTGAGACTCCGCATGCATAAAGCTAATATGACGTAGGCATCTCCTAAGAAAGGATTTTGATAAATTCCATTACTAAGGGGATAAAATAAGGGATGAAACTTTAATTCAGGTATTTTACACGATATAATGAATAAATATTCGTTAGAAATGCTAATCAAAGTAACTTTACCACGCGGACGAAGTTGCGGGCAAAAGCTAGTATTAGTATAGATTATTAAAATTTACTCACAAGCAGCGTACTTAACAAAACACAAGCACCCAACATGATTACAACTCGAGGAGTGAGGTCACATTCACATGTGAAACAGACAACTTTAAGGCTTATATTTTTATTATCTTTATTACACACACTAGTTATTCCAAAGGACTTTTTGCTCGTGTTATTTCTAGATAGCCACTAGTTGCATTGCCACGAGAGATTAGTACGGTTTACCTTTATATTATTTATTTTTTATATATTTACTTTTATTCAGAGAATGTTAGCTTAGCTTAAAATTTAATAATAGGGGTTAAAATATGAAATTGCCGATTTGTACTGAAAATCAAAATTGTTTATTTTTTAATATTTAACAAATTTATTTAATCAAATTAGTTACCATTATTATCGATACATTGCTGCCATCAAATAGGAAGGTCAATTATGCCTTTGCTATAGAACTCTGAGGATCTAGACTGCACAAACTGTGTCCTGGAAAGAAAGCTTCTTGTCACGTAGATAATTGTCCAAATCACGAAAAAAATGGTAGTCCGTTGGAGCAAGGTCTGGCGAATACGGAGGATGACGAATGGTTTTTCACTGCAGTTCCTGAAGGGTCAAAACGGTTTCTCGTGCTGTATTAGGTCTCGTGTTGTCATGGAGCAATAACGCTGAAAATCGATTCATGAGTCGGGGATGTTTTACTGCTAGTTTTACCAACATTGTTCGGAGTTCGGCACAATAGACATCTGCCGTTATTGGTTGACCCGATTGGAAAAACTATAGTAAATTACACCAAGCTGAGACCACCAAACAGTTACCATTACCTTTTTATTGGTAAGTTTGCTTTAGGACACAGTTGTGGCGTTTAACCTGGGGTCAGCCATTGCATTTTTCTCTTACGGTTATCATAGAAACCGCTTTTCATCACATGTCACAATTCGATCCAATCTTCCTTAATTTCTGTAACGATTCAACAAGGCAACACAAGTTTCAAGACGCGTTTCTTTCTACAGACGAGTCAAATCAGGAGGCACCCATTTTTCGTATTCTTTTTATTGATTTGACGCAAATGAGTCAATACTGTTGGTAAAGTAACGTTAAACCATGCTGCTAATTCCTGGGTAGTTTGACAAGGATCGGTTTCCACCATCTCTTTTAATTCATCGTTATTCAACTGGGCGGTCTTCTTCGTGGCTCGTTCTTCAAGTCGAAGTTTCCATCATGAAAGCGTTTAAACCAAAATCGCACGGTGCGTTCATTAGCAGACCCCTTTCCAAACGTTAACATTGTTATTGCGGGCTGTTTCTGCCGCGTTGTTTCCGCGTCGGAACTCGTATTCAAAAATCACTCGAATTTTCGCAGTATCCATCTTTCATGAATAACAGAAACAATTGAAAGTCGATAAACAAATGTTTCACATTTTTAAAATAAGTACATCATAGAAACCATGTGTTTCTTTCGAAAACCTCAAACCTTGATGATTCGACAATTTCATATTTTAACTCCGAATATATAAACAAAAAAATTAATTAAAAAAGTGATACATATTACTCGAGAAAATGAATTCAGGTGGAGGTTTCCTGTAGGTTATTATTTAAAAGATAAGCACTCGATTTCAATAGCATTTTCTTGAATAACTCGCTTTTGAGATAAGTATTTATTTTCACTTTTTAAGTTTTAAGTCGGTTCTACTTTTTATAAAAAGTATTTTATTTCATGGTCTTTAATTATATTGATATTTTTTATGTAATAGGTAACACTAAAAATGTTCAATACTCGTATTAAATACTGTTTCTGAAATTATCACGTTAAAAAGTATCACGTTTGTTGTCAACAACAAAAAATCATAGCAATAGAACAACAACTTAAAAATTGAACTGTCTAACTTTCACGGTTCATAAGATATAGTCTGGTGACAGACAGACAGCGAAGTCTTATTAATAGGGCTCCCGTTTTACCTTATGGGTAGGGAACATTAAAAAGAAGTAATGATGTTACTCAACCGACTTCAAAATCGAAAAGGAGGTTATATGTTCGGCGACGATGTATTTTTTATGTATGTTCGCTGATTTTTCCGCCGGAAAATATGTGAATATTATATAAAAATACAACATCACTTCTTAGGGACAGGTAAACTCATGACATACATGGTTTGCGGTGGAAATTGCTTTTGCTGAGAAACCTTAGTTTTTAGTATATTTTTTCTTTCTATATCATGCATATTAACATGCATTCCGCACCAATGTGTCGTTCGAACTATTTAATTATATCTATAGGAAATGCCTGTGGCCCAGCTACGGGAATGTTGATAGGCTAATGATGATCACAGATCACAGAAAAGAAATCATGATACGCCCAAATTGGATAAAAATACCTACCCAGACACCGGTGCAATGCAATAGGGATGACGTCTTATTTTCGTTTGTTTTTCTGTCAGCTAGATTATTGAAGAATATTAAATACGTTTCTTTATTTAATACTAGTGGACCCTAGGGAAATGTTAAGTGGGATAAAAGTATCCTATTATCTTAGTCAGCTTATACCCTACCTGTGTACCAAATTTCATTAAAATCCGTACAGTAGTTTCGGCGTGATTGACCGACAAACATCCAAACATCTAAACATCCAAACAAAAAAACTTTCACATTTATAATATTAATTAATAGGATTTTTCTATTTGCCCGACGGACTAACTAGAATTTCTTTTTTTACCCAGTCGTCATCCATAATCTAATATTGGCGTCAAGTAACTATTACTATACATTTACGTTTGATATATTCAAAGAAATCGTTGAAGGGATTTATTATTAAGAAAAAATAAACACAGTACTACTGCATCGTTTAAACAAGCATATTATCTGATCAATCGTTTTTGTACACTATTTCAAAGCGATTAAAGTTGATTATAATATGTGTATAAAAGTCCTTCGAAGTTATAAACTTTTTATAGAACTCTTATCTTCACTGCGCTTCAACAGCTTTTTAAATAAACACCTTCTACACCAATAAGGTATATATATCTGTATTAAATATTAAAACTTTTAGAAATAGTGCCGATTCTTTAGTAGAACTCTTTAAACTAAATAACTAAACTAAATTTCAATTTGGGCTTGTTGTTACCTTAGTCAAAGATATATCATTATTAAAAAAAAAAAGATTTCATCATCAAATCGAATAGGGAGAATGGGGAATGACTAACGGGGACATCGTTTTTTATGGGTGGCGAAGGGGGAGCGGGGATTCTTATATTTTAATTATTTATAGATGGTCACATTTTGGTTAGTATAGTGCGACATGTTTGGGTAAATAATTGGAAAACAAATTTGGCATAGATATCTATCTCGCCGATCTCTCTTCCTCTTTTTGCAGGCAACCAATAGTGTGCGTCCAACAAAATTTTGTCACCATTTCGAAAATGGGACATTTTTTGCGTTCGGGGGCTACCTTCGGGTGCAGGCAACCAAAAAACAAGACATCTGTTCACGTTACCCATGATGACCCACCATTCGGGCCCAGTGCGTATAGTGGGTGTTAACGATTGCAGATGCAGCCCGGCAAACGGCTTAACGTGCCTTCCGAAACACGAAGAAGCTCGAGATAATAAATTTTTGGTCACCAAAAAAGATTTTATGTGCAGTTAATTAATCACATCTTTGTTTACTATATGTTAGTCGTATGATTAAAAAAAAAGTAATATCACAAAAAAGGACAAAGTTCTAAGAAGCGCGAAGTATTGTCGGAACAATATAGGTGTAACTTTTTAAAATTTTTCGAACACGGCTATAACAACGTGATCCTTAAACCTTTTATTGTAGATTTTATGACCGATAGTTTTTTAATCTATTTTTGTCTGATTAAAACGTTCTAACTCTTAAAACCTTTTGGCGAAAGAGTTGTAAGTTTCATACTGTATTCAATGCTTTGATTCCGGATACATTGCCATTTGTTTGTAAATAAACTTTTTATCGAACGCTAACTCCTTTTAGCAAGCAAGGTACAAGTGAACGTTGTGGTTTTAGGGTTCGAATAGATTTTTATTTTACTCAAGTAAATTTAAATGTTTAGAAAATATTCCAAACCCATAATTAAATATGAATAAAGAATATCACGGGTTAAGTCGGAATTAAGTATATCTAGCTGGGGTTAGTTAAAAACTTAATATCATTTAGGTACATTCACAGACACTATTAACCACCCACCTATATCATTCATCACCCTGAATGATTCCGTCAACTATAGCTTATCAACTGTTTTTTTTTTTTGTTAAGTGGGTACTCTAACAATAAATAAAACACTTATACCATTATTTTCTTGCATAATTTTATCTAAATTTTAAGGGCTTTTGGAATTTGGTCGTTGTTTTAGGTTTTTGCTGTTGTGTTGCGAGTGGGCGAATATTGTTTAATTTAAAATTTTAATGTCTGCTCATTGTTTTTGTTTGCAACAAATGCCACTCGATGCAACTGATGCAGCTAGTGCAGTGGCTTTAGCTGATGTGGGGTGTTTAGCTGATGTGGGAATGCCGTGTTAGCCAGCGTCGTATCGCTTGCACACTCTGTGTACATCGAACTACGGTACGAGATGACGTCAGACTATTTCGGAAGACAGGCTTATAGGCTAGGCTAGTAGGCTGGGTCAAGGCCGATATCGATGCACTTCGACTCGAGATGACAGTTTCGCTGTCATCAATGTATTGAGAAATCGCTTTTCGACTACTACTGAAGCTGGCATGCGACTTTTTGAGGTGAGAAATGTCAGTGTCAGTGAACGTACCATTAGAAGAAGACTAGCAGAAAGTAATTTAAGGGCTTTTCGTCCAGCTCGCGCTCCGCAATTGCTCCAAAGACACCATAGCTCTATGGTATATATAGACTAGGTTTTACGTGAGAATATGCTAGCCGGACTGCAGAGGAATGGAAGAACGTACTGTTCTCAGATGAGAGCAGAATAGTCGTTTGTAGACACGCTGACGTCCATCTGGACGGACGTCAGCGTGTCTACAGACGTCAGAATAGGAGGTTTACTCCATACGCTATAACTGGAACCAACCCTGGAAACCTACTGTTTAAGTTTCCAGGGAGTGTCTATAATGATATGGGAAGGTATCTCTTATGAGGGTCGTACCGATCTTGTTGTGTTCGATAGAGTAAGTGTAAATGCTCAAAGATACGTGGATGAAGTTCTTCAAGACCATGTCATACAATCTTGAAAGATGTGTCCAAGTAAGAGTATCAGTCCCTACGACTGTAGGAGAGCTAAAAACGGAGTGGCTTGGATATTCAAGACATCATGGATGCATTGACAAACCGGCTAGAAGTCATTAGGGCCAAAGGTGGCAACACCCACTGTTTTTTTTTTAATGATTACCCGATTATTTTCAAATTACAAAATTTAAAATTTTCTTTGAAGGTCGTTTTCTTTGAAAAAATCGTTATTTGGTAAGCATCCTTTAATAAAAGATTATTTTTCAATTTTTGTTTTCTTTCAGTATAGTTATTAATATTCCTTTCATAAATATGATCTAAGTTTGGCGATTTCTGCTGATTGAAAGAAATAGGTGGGCGATTAATTGGGCCTGTGAGTGTATTTTGTGTGGGCTTTAGAAGAGCTTGGTGTCACAGCACTTTCGATCTTCCAACATTTATTTACTCTCAGTCCTCCGTACTTCGGACGGCTCGTTAAGCCATTACTCCCAGCTGCACCTGAAGTTGGTAACCTCCTTTCTGTGCACAACAACATCCGCCAATCCGATTGCTCCCTCAATTCTGGAGAACCCGGTGACTAGGTAATCTATACTTAATATTATAAAGAGGAAAGATTTTTTATTGTTTACATAGAATATGCTTCGCGACCACTGGATCGATTTTAGAAATTCTTCCACCTACGGGTATGCGGTCGAAGTTACGATAAAAGCTATATGAAAAGATTTTGAAAACGAATTATTAAGAACATTTTTATTTCTAAAAATAACAGAAGCATTTCTATACGCACCAAAACACTTATAGTAAATTTATCTGAGCATTATCTCTTTATTATTATTCACTAGATTTCCGCCAGCGGCTTCGCCCGCTTTGTCCCTAGTTTACTGTTTAGTGGGATTAATATGTTAATCCAGGTTTAGAATTATCCGTATATTAAAATTAATCAAAATCCGTTGATTCGTTTTTGGTTGAAGAAGTTAAAACAAACTTTCGCTTTTATAATATTAGTAAGATAATCCTCTTTTAAAATTTGACATAAGCATATTTTGTATATTTATATCTCCAAATCATTATTCTACTTATTTTTGACTATTCAAGACCAGTGAAGTTATTATAGAAAGTAACATCGCTGGGCTTTGGATTCATAAATCATAATAAATCGGATATTTTCTCCGCAATAATCTACTGATCATTACAGATTCACAGCAAAAAATGTTTACTAGACATTTAGGTATAGAGACTTTTTCTCACGGATGTACATACTCTTAAGCGACCGTTCTTTGGATTCTGTTTCATTTGGTAGGCAAACAGCCGACCGCGAGCTTCCTGACTAACATGTATTGATTGTTTAGTGCACAAAATGTTTGTATTTTTATTTTTGTTAATGACTGTGATGGCTGTTCGAGGAGGTCCTGCTCCGACGGAATCTTTTAAGGATCAATGTAAGATATTCTATATTGTTAATAGATTAATAATAAACTGGCGTATAACCGTTTCCCATTCATGTTTGGGATGTTGACGATATTCTCATCATAATACATTGTAAATCCAATAAATAAAATCAATACACGTGATGAGTGATTTTTAGAAGCCATCTTGTGTATCTTTCTTCGCTAAGTTACTTATGAGTCTGTGACCTTGTAACCTATAAATTTTATGGTCCTTATCTGCTATCAATTAGTCCATGCGATGTAATATCCAAAGGAAATTTTCATTCTTCAGCGTCTGTCATTCAGCCCTTGATATATCATAACAATAAAAGGCATATTACTCTTGAGCTCTCTCATTTGGAACTTCTATTATGGTCGATCATAGATACAATATGCGATTTTCAGAACATCTACGGTTCGTAAGTTCGACAAAAATTGTCCAAACGATTTTGTGTGCCTAGTACAAGTATAAAGAAATAACACATCATTTTACTGTTTTAAGCATATCTACGTAAAAAAATGGTTGTTGTGGGTTATGTTTGGAATGTAGACATATACCACCGCGGACTTTTTTGTAGATCTATTAAAAAGGTACAATTCCACCACACAATGATTTGTAATAGCTCAAAAGTTTTTGGCAGCATTTTCGAGGAAAACTTCCTATCGGCTTTAGTTTTTCCGAAATATTGGACTAATATCGTTGTATACACGAAAACCTTCCTTAAGAATTGCTCTATCTATTGTTGAAAACCGCATGAAAATCCGTCCAGTACTTTTCGAGTTTATCGCGAACAGACAGACAGACAGAAGCGGCGGGGGACTCTGTTTTATAATAATCGTAAAAGAGTCAATATCGTTCCAACAGCACCCAATTTTAACCCAATTCTTGTTACTACATCGCAAAATAGCAAGAGTCTGTCAACATTGATTCTTCAAGACGCTGTTGCACTTATAACATTTGGCGTTAAATGAATAAAGCAGTGGGAAAATGCAATCAATCAAAAACTATTGAAGTACCTTTATAACGTGTTAACGTCAGCAAAATCGAGGCCCGAGTCAATGAAGGAACTTTTCTTAACTGTCTCACTTTGGGTGGTCAAAGAATATCATAGAGATATGTGTGATGTCTCTTATATATAAAAAATGTTATCATGGAAGAAAACCCTCCATCACCACCATCACCAGCCCTTTTTACGTCCCCACTGCAGGGGCTCAGGCCTTCCTTATGAATGGTTAAGGAGGATGGGCCATGACCCTCCACGCTGGCCCAATGCGGATTGGAGGGTATTAACGACTGCAAATGCAGCCGGGACCAACGGCTTAACGTGCCTTCCGAAGCACAGAGTAGCTCGAGATAATAATTTTTTGGTCACCCATCCCGTGACCGAACCTTGCGAAAGTTGCTTAACAATTACGATCGCGGGCCGCGGCGCTTATCCACTACGCCACCGAGCTACTCACCGAGGAAAAATACCCTAACTGTAATTAAATAACTTATCCTAGTCTGCACGGATCCTCGGACTATGAACAAGCATAACGCGTACACAGAATGGGCTGATGCGTACTCTTGTACTCGGCATAGATGCCAACCGGGAGGAAGAAATCTCGCTATATACACAGTAGGGTAAGTATTAAAATATAATATTTTTGCTTATAAATATTACCACTCCGGCTTAACTACGTTGGCTTCAATTTCGGCATCAAAATCAACTCAACGTTCAGTATGTACTGTATTGAAGATTGCATTTGATTCGACCCGATGTATTGAACAATATTAAATGTTGAGTTTAAAACTGTTCAGTAATGGAGTCACACAATATAATTGCAGAAGCTCAATAGAACAGAAGCTGCTTTGCAAATGTTAAGCAAATTTTGACCTGTTTGTTTAATCCACTCAGGACATCAGGATCCGCTTTGGGTCTTCTTAGTAAGTTACAATAGACCGTTCTCTCTGAGATTCTTTAAATTGAGATGATAATAATAAATGCTTTATCTACTGCTATTCTATTTTTCTATACTGCTCTCCTACAGGACATCGTAGTATTGATAGTAACCTATACTATCACTATTTATAAAAATCACGCTTTAAAAAGTTTGAAACAAGATATTTATTTATAATAGTGATGACCAAAGGACAGCGTAGTTGTATGCCACTGATAATAACAAAAACAAATACACATAGGTATATTTAAATTTTTTATTTTAATTTATTTATTTAGCTCACAAAACGTGTTACAGTAATATAATTTAAATATATCTATACAACTAAGAAATAAACCATACCGTAACTCTTAAACAAGTGCCCATAGTATGGACCAAATATACAATGTAACATCAAAACGTAGTCACAGAACATTAAACAAAAAAAAAAAGAATACATATAGCTAAAGAAGATATAAAGAAAACAAAAAACACATGCTTCTAAGAGCGCAGGATGCCTTGGACTTGCGTTTTAAAAGTAAATATTACCGTTAAAGATATCTAAACAGAAATGCTCGACTACAAGATAATTGTACAGGCAACACGCACTTGTAATGGGATTATAAAATAAAGTGTTATTTCTATAGATTTGTAGGTAGAAAATTTTATTTTTATGGGGATTGCGCGATCTGTATTTTTTATTAACATTTAGTAAAGAGACAAAAGATGGTGAGTCAATGAGAATAAAAGACTGGACATTTAATTTTTTTTAGATTTACTTTAAACTCGTAGGATTTGTATTCTCGACCCAAATTTAATCTGAAAAAAAGAATGCTGAGGAACTACTTTTGAACCCTCTCGATGCGATTCAAGTGAACTTCGTAATGAGGATTCCAAATGTTATTTTATTTATTATAGACAACTTGTATAGGTTCTTTATAGGATGGAAGATGCTGATAGTTGTATCACAGTTCATACTTCTACAGCTGTCAACGTAACTTGGAATATACAAGGAATTGAAATAAATTATATTATTATTATAATTATGCTAAAATTGGCACGTGTAACTGAGCAAGCGTGTTCTTTTATACGGTCCATTTATAATTTATTTTATAGACACTATATTTAAGATGAAATTTTATTCCTACCTCTTCATTACGAATGCAGTCTGTAAGCGTTAGCCGCACTGTAGATTATGTAGGGAAGTATTTAATCATTTAAAATTGCAAAGATTGATATAAATTTATTTATATTTTGCAGATGCAAACGTGTTGAAGCTCCAGAATCAGCGATTGAATGTGAAGAAGTCGTGGAAGATACAAATATGCAGTTCCCATTCTGTTGTACAAGACTCAGGTTGGTTGGCTAAAACTCACATCACAAGAGCAGCAATACGTGATTGAGTATTTTCTTTTAATTGAATGAAGATATTTGCTTACTTAAAACAACAAATGCCATCAATGTCGCATTAGGAAACATGATGTGATGATTATGTCTGGACTTATTAGTAAATATTAGGACACATTGTATTTAATAGAATCAGGCGTTATCTTGTGAATGTCTATTGATATAAAAGTTGTGTGAAACTACGATGTCTTAACAATTTCTACGCCCAATCAGTATCTGCAAGATTTGTAGGGCAATCCTGCTTACGTTAGCGTAATTTTGGAAAGTCAATAGTTCTTCAACTACAACCTTCTGATACAGTTCTTGTTACTAGATCATAAACGAATAAACTTTGTCTGTCGCTAATGATTTGTGAGGAAAATATTGCTATAAAGATAATGAACTTCAAGGTAGATAGTAGGTACAATGGATAAATGCAAGTAGTTGAGATTTATTGACATACTATTATTAAGTAAAAATTTACAGAAATGATGCTCTGTTGTGCACCGCCGGCCTATAAACAAATACCTGAGTTATAAGATATGTACAATATTTAATTCGAGACTTTGACTCGTTTTCACTAACGTCGAACAAGGCATAGCTTAACTAGAAAAAGTCTCAACTTACGAATCACCTAAGCAGATTGGTTCAATTCCAAATAATCATTTTTTCTTTTATCCCTTGACATATTCTTGACCTGGCGCATGGCGTCACATAACGCATAATTTTAGACATTGCTTAGATAATTAGGTGGTTCCTAGTCATTGGTAAAATGCTTCACCTTAGGCGATTCTTAAATATTAAGGCGACAGATTTGAGCAACTCCTAAATTTATTGAAAATCGACATTAAATGCGTTGATAAGTGGTCTAAATTGCAGGATTTAATCACAAAGTTACTTAAGTATTTCAGGAACATAATATTTTAATTGAGTCATCAAATTATTTCAAACAGATGTTTAGTGGTAGTTCGAGGGGAAGTATGGACGCGAGTGTTGGGACAGCCATGGGAAACTTTGCCAGCGGCGCCCTGGAGTCATATGTACAAGATGAAGAAACCGCCACCTGGGGACACTACCTTCTTGCCGAAGTAAGCTTAAGATATCCCTAGTAATTGATTGAATGTCTAATGCTATGATAACGCTGTTTAACTCTGCATTTTATGTGACGCTGTATCTAGGTAATACCAAAGTTGTTTGCCGAGGATAGGAATAATGGAAAATAATCCACCGATAAGAGTATCACTCTAAGGGCGCTTGTGCACTACACTGAATTTTCAGGTCCGGCGGTCCGATTTTTTCCGGTCCGGAATGACATGAAAAACCCGGATTAGTAGCTTGTACACTTGTCCGTTTTTTCCGGATCAGAGCGGCGCAGTGTAGGGCAGCTCTCTTTGAAGCTACACGTCACTTACGCTAGGTACGATGAGATTTTTCAAACGTCGGTAATTGCGTTCGAAGACGTAAAAAGGTACCTAAATAATGACCTGATCATTTTACATAAACCATAATAAATTGAGGCAAGACGAAAACATTTTTTTTTACTACTATCGGATGACTATCAGACTATCAGATGTAAAAACTTATACTCTTACTAATTTAGGAGCAGCATTATTCACATACAACACCTAAAAATATCTGTGATATTAGAATAAAATTACTGATAATGGTCTAGTACTTAATGTTTAAATTTATAAACGTGCTATTTTTTTCGAAGTTTTATAAAAACAACTTTAAGCGATTACAGGGATAGACTAATCGGTGGCGCCATTTCGTAAACAAATCGAAATCAGTGCCGTGTAAGCGAACAATTAATATGCTAAATGAACTTTACGAGATCAGTTGACTGTATTGTATATAGGCATAAATTTATACGCTTCTTTTTCTTTTTTTTATTTATTTATTTATGACACAAACATTCATTTAAAATTTTATTAAATGCGAAAAAGACATTGAGTGTCACTTAATTACTTCTGTTTATTCTTTATTATTACTTCTGTTATTAAATATTTATCAATACTTATCAATTGTCTAAAAAAAATTTGATAGTGACAAATTTTCAGGCAAACTTTCATCCCCTATTTTTCGCGATAAAATGTAGCCTTCCTTGTTCTTTCTTAAAGTTAAGTCTCTTTATTATATTAATTTCCATTGAGATGGGTTCAGTTGTTGAGGCGTCTAAGCGTAACAACACTTATTTATCTTAGGAACCTTAAGTTATTGATACTTTTAATACGATTCTAAAATCTAGCTAAGTATCGATACTAGATCAATACGCTGATCAAATTAGAACTACACCGAGTTTGCCTAAGCATATGCAGTGATATTTACCAACTATATTAAATCATCATATAAAATATAGCATTTTATAATCTACAATAAATATCGATTATAAGTTTATTGGAAATTAACAATATCGCCGAAATAAATAACGATTTTACACAAATCGATTATTTTTTCCCAAGCCTATTCCTTATGAATTTTCCGGATCACGGACACAGCAGTGCACAAGCGTAAACACGTTTTTCATTGCCGCCATCACGGACCTGAAAAAGCCGGTCCGGAATAGAGAAAAGTAAAATCCCGGACGGTAAAATTCCTGACAGTGCACAGGCTAGCATTACCTTTATATGGCCTGACATATCGGACCTGAAAAAATCGGACCGCCGGACATGAAAATTCAGTGTAGTGCACAAGCGCCCTAAGATATAGATGTCTCAACTTAAATGTTATAAACAGAACAGACGGAAGCTAATCTTGTCCAATACATCCTAGTTACTTAGATGAGGCGAACCAGTGTGTCTATAAATTTTAATTAAATATTATTTAAATTTAGAAGCCCCAGCGATGGACCAGTTTACGAACTATCTTCAGACATCGACAATAATGACAAGGTCCTCAGAGCAAGTAAGAAAACTGCACCGGAAAACCCTGACTGTAACGAGATAATACCAAGAGCTTCGGTACCTACTCCTGATATTGTTGTAAGTTTTTTTTGTTTGTATAACAATGAGAATGATTTATTTATCTACAATTATATTAGTAAGTTTTTAACCTATAATTATGGTGACTTCAATATTTAGTCTAAAATAATTTCAGATAGCTTTATCGACAGCGAATGATCCAAAGGAATTTAAGAAAAGTGAAAAGAGCAGGTGAGGAACTAACCTTTTATTCTTAGTACTTTATCAATAGTGAGCTAATTGAGCTCACACACGTTCTGTCTATAATGAGGAGCTTAAGCAACTTTTGCAAGCGTCGGTTATAGGATGGGTGACCAAAATTTTATTATATTGCTTCGGAAGGCACGTTAGCCGTTGATTTCGACTACATTTGCTATTGTTAATACACTCCAATAGGCACTGTGCCTACGTGGTTGGTCATAATCCATTCTCCCTATTTGACAGACTGCCCCAGCAGTGGAGAGGATAATACGCTTGTTATGATATTATTATTAAGGCAAGAATTTTATATATAAGTATGTTTATTGTATATGTTTGTTTCATAGGGAAAGACATAAGAGAGGTCGTAAAGTCCAATCGAGTCCTTTAGATGACGAAAATACTGAAACTAATCAACACAATGAAGTCGATACGGAGGATGCAGCTATCGAAAAAGAAAAGGTTAATCTATACAAATAAATAAAATTACAATGTCTGTAAATTACCGCTTAATCTATACAAATAAATAAAATTACAATGTCTGTAAATACACAGTACATACACCAAAATATTTTTTTTTTTACATTTTTTTGTCTGTCTGTTTGTTCCGGCTTATCTCTGAAACGGCTGGACCGATTTTGACGAGACTTACACTGGAAGATAACTTACTTAATTTCCACGCGGACGAAAGGCAAAGGCAGTTATGGAGTAAATTATAACTTTAGTAAGAGTGTGTGTGGTAGAAGTAAGCACTTTATTTTTAAACCTCTGGAATATAGATAAGCAACAAAGTAAAAATGTGTCGCGTCTTTTGTCTGAAGAGGTTAGAACCAGGCACGGATCTACGATTTTTTCTAACCGAGGCATAAATTCGTCATTGCGCCCTTTATAAACCCAGCCCTCTGTTCGTTCGACTGCCTGACGCTCATTCTATTAATTGTTGTAGTTGACCTAGATCCGGGCCTGGCTAGAACGGCCGCCGAACAGAAAGAATTTCGTACAACGACCCGGCATTAATTATCTCTTTCATTTGTTCGCAGCAATGAATTGCTATTTCGCTTTCACAGATGCATCTAGTCATAGTAAAGTAAATGTCTACGATATTTATATATAGACACAAAGGTCAAAGTAACAAAATCTTTCGGTTGGGCGACCGTGTTATAATACTGGTTAGATGCCCTACTTAAAAATACTAAAAATCTATTTACATATCAATGATAGGCGCCCAACTTCAATAGCATTTTCTTAAATAAGTCTCTTTTGAGATAAGTATTATGTATCGGTCTACTATTAACGGAAATATCGGTGAACATACATACTTTGGATTTTGAATGTTGGTTAAAAATTAGAAGCATACGATGCAAATTTTGACAAAATTAGCATCGTGTGACAAAAATATTTGAGTGGCTATACAACGTAACTGAAGACTACTGTTGTGTGCAAATGAAGTCAAGAATTATTTAACAGCTTCATTTTGACAGATCAATCAAAGCTTCACAAAATTTGTGTTAAATAAATAACTATAATTTTCTCCGTTTTCACAGCCCGTTGATGCAATTTCCGAAGAAAAATATTTCACTAATAGTTTCGGCGTAACTCAGAAAGTTTTTAAGGTACAGTCGATTTGGGTTACTTTGAAGAATTTTTACAATATATGTAATCTGATTTATATGGTACACTTTTTGTAATCTGATTTATATGGTACTGTACGGGATAGAACTAAAATGATGAAACTAATAAGATTTAAAAACTGTTATATATTTGCTATACTAAACTTAGAGAGATTATTATTAATGAGGGTGAAAATTGATGTTAGTACGCGCGACTTGATACATTAATATATGCGAACTGGGGGCCAATTCTACTAAATATTGTTTAAAGTAAATTTTGTTTAAAGTGACATAAGATACAATTCCAGCTAAAATAGAACTGGAATTGTATCGTATGTCATTTTATAGAATAGGAAAACCATTAAAAACTGTAGTTTCGTTCGGTTTCGATCCGTTTTCGATTCGATTTAAACAAAATTTATTTAGTAGAATTGTCCCCCTAAATTATATAAAGATAATTTATTAATTATGAGTAAACTAAGCTATTATAAAAATGATGCGTCGGCAATGTGCGGCTTGCTTGTACAGGTACACTTTTATTTTATGGAATAAAAAGTGTCCTTTTGAGATATTTTTTGTTGATGAGAAAACAAACGAACTATAAAGTTACATGGCAACAAATACCTACACTTATGCAGAAGAGTTCTACATTAACTCGACTGGGAATCAAATCAGGAACCTCGGACAAGGTGGACGTTCGAACCACTTATCAGTCAAGGGGCGCGACTGCCTAACTCATGGACGTAGCCGTAGTCGTAGCTATAACCTACGCTTTACCGATATTTCTTATGAATCTGTTTATATTCTTTTAAAATTATTTGTTTTTTTTATTTATATATTTTATTAAACATTTTGGTTTGTTTTTTTTTCGAAATAGCATTGTTTGTACCAATTCGACATTTTGTTAATTTCGTTTAACTTAAATAATTCAGTAAACAAAAACAACTAAAAGCATTGAATAAATATGTAAATAATAAAAAAATATAAATTTTAAAATAATATGAACAGATTCATGTGTAAAACCTATAAAGCGTAGGTTATAGCTACGACTACGGCTACGTCCATGAGTTAGGTGGTCGCGCCCAAGGTATTTGACCACAATCAAGTGATCAAATCAATTTTGAGCAAAATTATAAAGTCCCAATTAATTTTATCATATGTCTAAAACCGATATTAAATCTTATGTCTAGGCCAATTCTGCAAATAAGATACTTGTTCTGCATCACAACAGTGTCTTAGCTACTTCCATACTACCATTGTACTATAGATCCGAAGTCCAATATTAAAATAACTGACCGTTAGCGTTCACCATTGATTTGTGACTTATTTGACTTTTAGTAGATAGTACGATGGTAAAACCAAATCGTTGAGATACTATTGAGATGCAATTATTATAACATAACGTAAACATTAGCAGAATTGTCCTGGAGATCCGCGTTTCATTTTGTGCTTATTTATTATCAAGGCAACCACGGCCACTTTGACAAGAATATTTTTTAAGTGGTATTGAATCTACTTATTGTAATTTATAGCTTTTAGTAGCTCGGTGGCGTAGTGGATAAGCGCCGCGGTCCGCGATCGTAGTCGTTAAGCAACTTTTGCAAGGGTCGGTCACGGGATGGGTGACCAAAAAATTATTATCTCGAGCTTCTCCGTGCTTCGGAAAGCACGTTAAGCCGCTGGTCCCGGCTGCATTTGCACTCGTTAATACCCTCCAATCCGCATTGGGCCAGCGTGGAGGGTCATGACCCATCCTCCTTAACCATCCATAAGGAAGGCCTGAGCCCCTGCAGTGGGGACGTAAAAGGGCTGGTGGTATGGTATGGTATGTAATGTAATTTTTGTATATGCATAGTTATGCATAGTTTTATTTTTCTTAATTGATTTCTTTCTGATTTAATTATCTGATCTTCTTTACAGGGATCACAGTATCATCAAAGTTGGACAGAAATCCCTCCTAACCTATGGAATGACCGCGAGACTCCGATAGTTGATACCGAAACGACAGTTAGGGTATGATATTAAATTTGTTATATTGTATCTCTAAGTTCATCAGACGAGTGAATAAAGAACCATCTCGAGTTCTTCTATGGTTTGGATGGGAAACACTTAATAGTTGGCCCTAGTCTACAGTAGTAAAAAAAATTGTTTTATATTTTTAAATGGCATCATACTGCTGCCATTTTGAATATTTTTTATATAGCAGTTTCTATTGTATTAGCGCCTCTATGGTAAGCACTCACTAATCCACACTGAGCTCATACGGTGAACCATAGATTTAACCCATTACTCCTGTGTGATTCTTTACTATCCATAGCAAAGGCATGTGCCCGTGTGGACATTATAGCCTAATGAGATTAACTTTACCACTAAAAATATGAAGTAAGTAAAAAAATACTAAAAAGTTGTGATTATAAATATACTACCAATTTGAATAAAGATATTTTTGGTATACCTAATACATTAACATCCAGTTGCATACACGTCTATTAAAATTGCAATTAGGTTAAAGCGACACTCACCAAAAACTCAAAATTGTTTATTCAGTTTAGGCTTTTACAGAGCACTTGTGAAAGTCGAAAACTACGCCATCGGTTCGCAAATCGACGGCGGAAGACCTTTTTAGAAGAACCGGCAAGAAACTCAGCAAGGGCTGCTTTTTTCCCCCTGTTTGATTTCACACAGAGAAGTCTTATTAAAATGTGATTTCATTAGAATATGAAGTCATAGTCACATTCAATGGACGTTTGTGCAACAGACAGTAACAATGTTCATTCTAATTTACTTAAAAAATAATAAATTGCCAATAGGATGGCAGCCACTCACCAGATTTCGTCGCCCCAGAAGAGAAGAGGGAAGAAAAGCCATCAAACCTCCAAGCGTTAGTAGACGCAATAGGAACAAGAATGAGAGACATAGAAAACGTGGTACAGAAGATGAGCGAGAAAGTTCATCAAGCGAAACCTGGGCAACAGGAGTACAGCGGCGAGAAGAAGTGAGTTTAATTTATTTCTGTTTGATTATCAGCAAGGCGATTGTCAAATATTTTCGTCTTCGTCGTATTGCAGTACCACAATTGTAAAGGAGACTAATGGAAGGCTGTCTCCCACCTAGCTAATCGTTGTTTCTCTGAAGACTTTGATCCATGACTTCGAACGTTTATATAAATTGCTGTAGGAATTTTGATAGGGCGATGTAGGTAGCGCAGCACCATCTTCTAACTGAGCGAGGTAACTTATAGCCGTCGTCATTAAAACCATGAGATAGATGTCACTATGTCATGAGTCGCCCACACGAACATTCGCAACCCAATTGATTGTCAAATTATATTACTAAGTAAACACCCGGTAAGATTGTAACACACCTCTGTTGATCGCGTGTTCTCGGATATTGATTTCAGAAACAAGTGGAAAAAGTAACTACGTAAATTCCATGTCTTGTGGCACTCACTTCTCCATTTTTAACTGTTGTGTATGAAGATAATTATTTAGTTAGATACCTAGATTTTTAATTTATTCATCAAAATATGTTACCTGCAACTGTTTCAGATCGACTGGAGATGGTGAAGCTTTTCAGCAGTCACGTAAACACCACAAAGGTGACAAAGATCCCGAACATAAAGAAGGGAGAATCAAAAAACCAAATCCCGACGGAGATCAGTATAAAAGGCAAGATAATTGTATGGCTCTATCTAATTAGATCTTCACGCAATTGTGCGGGATTGATAGAGAGATTGAGCGCCACAAGACAAGGTCATCACATACGTACTTTGCTGCTTTTGACATTTGTTAGACTTTCCATATATATATACTCATCCGGTTTTATGGATTCTGACATTACGATAACACGTCAATAATCAGATCGTTAGGTGTGTTTTGATCTTCTTCGGCTTCTACATCCTTCCACTTTTGCGTTATTTATCAGTTCCGTCATTCTTTCTTCCGGTATCGGCTCCGGTTTAGGCCAGGGTCCGATCTAAAGGAGGCAAGGCGGGGAATGGTTCAGATCGAGCAAAATGAGGAGCGACATAATGAAAGACACTGGGAAATTGTTATTAGGTAAAGATTGTCTGTAATTGAATAGCTAGATTGGAGCTCGGTCTAACCAACGGTGCATGCCTCAACTAGTACATGATATTTTAGTCACTCTTTCGATCCTATATTTGGGAAAAGTTGTTTAATATATACGGTCGAGTTCCTCAATATGTAATCTCTATATGTGCCATCCATTTACTGCGTAAGATGATTTCGGTGGGGAGGAGGGTCAATAATGTCTTAATTTTTCAAAACTTATTATTAAAATGGTGAAAAAGGAGTCTTTTTTACTCTTACGCAAAATTTTTCCGTTAGATTATTACATAGGGAGTGGGGCTCCAATTCTTACTCGTTTTATGCCTTGAGGTAGATGAAGCTATGGAGTCAAATTCATATACAAAATGTTCACAACAGGTTCTCTGTCCGTAACAGAGGAAGCAAGTATCTGCATACAACAGAAATCACTACTGAACAACCAGTCTTCATTGAGGACACCAATTTGAATGGATACTTCAGCGATGCCAGTAACAATCTTGTTAGAAGGTCAAACCAACCAAAGGCAAGTATTAAAAAAAGTTATCACTATGAAGCTAACAACTAACATCATTTCTGCTTCCTTGCTACTAATATTGCTAAATAGCAAAACATCGATGCATAAAATTTTAATACTATTTTCACGATGTAATCACTAATCAGTCATCAATCAGTTTAATACTAAATCAGAGTCGTCAGATTATCTTTAGGGGCAAACGCGGGATTTTTAAATTTTCAATTAATAAAGTGGAATTCTTTCCCCGTAAGTGGGACATTAACAATATGACTATCGGTTTTATTAGTTATAAATCGTTACTATATTTATAAACAAAAACTTCATTATTGGCCCTGTAAGTTAGTTCAGTCTTCCGAGGAGTGTAATATAAATAAGCAATACCCGCGTATTCATCCACTATTACCGAAGTACCGAATTCTGATTAAAAAGATTTCTTTCAGTACATCATAAATCGCACATTGAGAACGATAGTGACACAATGCAAAGATGCGATTTTGAGTAATGAGCGTTTAAAGTTGAAGAAATTGTAAGCAGCCCTTCTAAAAAACGTATCGTCACTACGCCACCTAGCAGTTCTATGCAAGCTACTTTGACAGGGATCTTTGCATTTTAAAGTTTATACTCAACAAAGAAAAATGTTGTCAAAAGTAAAAAATACGTGTGACACAATGCAAAAAATGCGATTTTGAGTAATGAGCGTTTTAAGTTGAAGAAATTGTAAGCAGCCCTTCTAAAAAACGTATCGTCACTACGCCACCTAGCAGTTCTATGCAAGCTACTTTGACAGGGATCTTTGCATTTTAAAGTTTATACTTAACAAAGAAAAATGTTGTCAAAAGTAAAAAATATGTCGTTTTTGGTTATTGACATTGTCATTCTCAATGTACGATATACATCCCTGTAACGGGACGTCTGACAAAACTCATTCTCTAACGAAACCAAGGCGACAAGTGGCATGGGCTAAATATGATTTCGGCCTTATCATTATGCTACTCCAAAGAAAACTACAGATTATAGTAAAGTACAAAAATATTGTAGATAACAAACGGATAATATAATAAAATATTATAAAATATTTTGCTGCACATATATTTTTTTCTCAAAATTTCTTGATCGATCTTTCTTTTCCATGAATCAGTCGAAGTCGACGGAAGTGATGGATATCGTTCAAGAACTTTTGAATGTACTCACGGGAAAAGACACGTACATTGTAGAGAAAAATACATGCAACAGAACTGAAAGTTCAAGTAAGAAGGTAGTTAGTTATTCACTAACAAAAAATTGATTAGTGTTTGTCTTCAACTGCATTTAATTTTAGGTGCGCGTTATTTATGGATTCGAGATATTATTTCCGTAACTAATTCTGAAATATAGTTTTAATGAGTTAAATTAAGGTCCCACTTGGCGTGCACGCATCAACTCAAATTACTGTGCTATTAATTATTCTACTAAATGTACACATATTTTTTGATAATGAATTCTACGCTCAACGTTATAAGGTTTAAAATAGAGTTGGGAAATTTATGTATTGTATAACCTCTTGAATTTTTTTATAAAAGTGCTCTTGACGGTATCCATGCAGTATTAACAGTCGATCAGTCAAACTCAAAAGTCATGCTATGAATGCACCATAGAGAAAGCATTATAACTTTCAAATAAACAGCGCTTATTGTAAGTTTTTTTGACGTTGTTCACCGTGGCCGTGCATCGTGATCGCGTTAGGATTTTAGTATAGAATCTGCTACAGCACCTCTAGCAAGAACTATCAACTATCAAGAACTACGAATCTCCATAAAAAAAAATTATGTGCTAGTGAACGCATTAACGAAAAACTTACACTTGCCACTCTGCGCACCTAATCTATTTATATTTGAACCGAAAATTCAAGAAAATCGAATCGTTCTTACAATTTTTTTAATATCATATCCATGAAGATTATCTGTGCATCAGAAGCAGTGTCAGGTCATACCTCCATTGTATCATACATTATCGAAAAATGGGATCTTTTTGGATTCGTATTAGCGTTCAGAAAGCAGGCGACATTTAGTTTTCGGAGAAACGGAGTACGCATTCAGAATTTAAATCTCGAAATAATATCACCCTTTATTCCACAGGAACCTGCACCTATTTATATGGCACCAGTTGAGAACAGACGCAAATCGTCTCACATAGTTGTTTCGGAAACGTCAGAAGAAAACGAAAAGAAGCACAAAAAGCGTGTCCACAAAAAGAAGAAAAATAAAGGCAAAAATCATAAGAAACACCATAAAGATGAAAAGAAAAGACGCGTGAACAAAGTGAGCTCTGTAGAGTTGGAGAAGAATGTGGTTTCTCTAGAGGACAGCAGTGCTGTTGCTAGTAAATAAGAAAGCGTTAATATGTTTTTAAAGGGTAGTATGACTAAGACCAACTGCAAAGAACGCAAAACTGATCTGGTATATACATGTACTGTAATAAGAAATTCCTAATATAATAAAGCTTACAAAAGATAAAGCACCTGCAAAGTTAAGATAATCCCTTACGGGTTCAGTTAGTTCACTTCATTCCACTGTTACTTTAAATAATACCTATAAAAAGGAATAATATTATGTAAAAATAGAATAAGTATGTGATTTAGGTTTTTTTTTAAATTGATAAATGGCTAATTTGTTATGATGATAACTTTCAGCCATTTTTTGATAAATAAACGGATATTAATTAATAATTTATGTAGTTTTTTTTATAAGAACTAGACTCTTAAGCACGTGTCATATAAAAAGCACAGGCGGGCGACTTGATTTATTGTGTATTTGAATTAATTTTAATGATTTCTAAAATCAATAATTTTCCACAAAATAAATTATGGGTTAGTTATTCGAATAGAATTTTTTGAATTTTAATTGGGTTGATAAAATAAAAAAGAAGAAATTAAGTTGTTCGTTTATTTACAACAATAAATCTTAAAATTTAACTAAACTAGTGTTACAAATGCAACAAATAATGTGTACGGTGTAGTACATTACAAATAAATAGTAATAGATAGGTATCCTCGATACGTAACGAAATCAGGCTAAATTAAATGAAAAAAAGTTCTTCAGTTAGTTTGAAAATGCGACTGTGTTTGTAACATCTTGTTTTTTATTTTCTTTGCAAACTTCCAAATATGTTTCAGTCACGGATCTATATTTTTTTCGAACAGAGGTAGAAATTTGTGTTGCCCCATCTCTCTAGCATATGAGACAAATAAAACAACACACAAATGGTATGGCATTTTTATTTCTAATGAATAATTAAGGATAACTATTTATTCGAAACCATTTTGTATAGTTATTTTTTTTTCAATCATAATCGTGACTTTGGCGTAACCCATAAACTGCCGCACGGAGCTTGAGCCCCGGTTTTCCCCTAGATCCGGGACTGATATCGTTTAAAATTTTGTTTAAGTTAATTTTGTTAAGTTTTAACTGGCGATGTTGAATTTTTTTATTGACATTACATAAATATTTGGACATCATACAGTCACATAATTGATTCGTCTGAAGTATAAAATACAGTTTCTTTTTTTTATTTTGAAATTAAAAAGACCAAGCTTTGAGGTAGTTATTTCATTGTGTTTTTTATATGTCAATTTCTAAGTATTTGCGATTCGCATTCATTAGCTCCTAACATATAAAACTTCAAAGGTAATATTTTTTACAAATAAATATATTCACTCGCATGAAGAATTCGTGACATATTTATAAATAGAACGAAACAAAACATAAATTGGTCTCGAAATATTTGTTAATAAAAAGTTACAAATGTGGTTTATTATTTTACTTTACACGTGCATAGGCGTCATCTTTTTATTACCTAAGATGTTTTTTTCCAGTTTTCCTCTCTCGTTCTATGTAAGAATAAGTAAGATTCAGCTGAAACGCTCCCCTGTTAAATAATTATTTTGTTAGCGAATATTCCTGATGTAACAGGGCCATTAGATGATCAATCTGGCGGGAAAACCTTTATCTTTATCAAACTGATGTCAGATTGATCTTGTTATGTGTTGATTGACGCCAGATTAAAATGGATCACATTATTATCTAGATAATTTGTTTTCTATCATCAATCCTCTACTTTTATGCGAAGATTTATCGTTTAATGACCGGCTTTGGTAGAATTTTAGAGACGCCCTCTTCTTTGTAAGAATAATTATGGAAGAATAATTAAGACATAGTCGACTCATCTCTAAATCTTCTTACTTAATAAATGGACGACACCATAGATATAATATATACCAACTTTATGCTAACCTAAGACAACAAACGTATTATAAACACGTGTATCATATTTAATGGACAAAATGACCAGTTTATATCATTTCTTAAAATTAATACATAGTCTCGTCTTTATTATATCTTCGCAAGATTTTTCGTCATTAATTTTTGTGCTAGTACAAATGAATAACTATAGATTAAATATAATATCACTGCGTTCATTTCCAACTAAGTATTTTAAATTAATAAAGATCTTTGTGTTATTATTTTAATTTAGATTTGCATACGATTTTGCATTGAATCGCAGAGTACGCTTCCTCACGGCATCTTAAACATCTTACAGCGTAAGGTAATAGTATCTTTTAGGAAAAAATACCTTCCGTACCTATATATTTTAAAAATTTAATTATTGTTTATGAGAATTTTTATTACATTAAGAGTAGTGCCTAGTACAACTTTTTTAAAACTATTTTAATAATATAAGATCTTGTATACTTCGGGATTTCATTTCCTAAGAATTAAGTGCGCCTAAGAAATCCTATGAAATAATGTACCTGCGAGGTTCGAAAGATAATACGTGCAGAAACCAACATGCCACCACTAGATTCCAGATGAGTCCAGGTGTCAGTATCGCAAAAATTATACGACTAATATGCAACTTGAGTTTTACGCCATACAGATTCCCTAACTCACGCGTGGCGACATATAACGCGAGCTAGATATGATTCCGGCTTTAGAATGACATTACACTAGGCAAAGAAAAGCTGTGGGCGCTGCTTAGCGAAGCGGTAATGACAGCGCATTAGTACGAATATCTTCGGAAAAACGAAGTGAAGCGAGTCTGGGTGATGTCAGCTGCACAAATCTGTTATTATTCACCTCATTTGAGTGTCGGCCGTAAGGCCATAACTTTTTTTAATATCAATTAAATAAAAAATGGATTTAATCCATATTTTTGATGACTACATCTTAAATCTATTTACATATGTCTTTAAAATTACAAAAAAGTAAATATTGTCTTACTGTTTCTATTATTAGCGTGATGAATACCATTTGGAATTGAAAAGTATTACGAAAAAGACAAAAACAAAGCTTGCTTTTTACTACATATTAAATTTGAAAACTGGTTTGTTTCCTCCGAAATTGTAATGAATCAAAAGATGAAACACTCACTCTCAATATGTACTATTAATCTAGAGGATCCTATAATTAATAAATGAATATTAATTTTAATGGGATTTTGTTAACATAACACATGCTGTCTACAATTTTAGACTTTGAATTAGAGATGTTATAATGTGGAGGACAAATTACAGAAGCAGAGTTGTCACACATTACTGTCTTTTGTAGATCTACTGTAATTTTTTTTAGTTTATTCTAAACTATAATATGCCAAAAAATAATTACATTTTCTAGTAACATAATCTGCTGCTGCAGGTACTATTCATTGGTCACTGTTCTGCTTTGTTTTCAAATGACAATTAATGTAGTGAGTTTACTCATTACTTTTATGTAGAAGAATATTACTGCATTGATATTTAAATTCAGAACACAATTCCAAATGGTACAGCGAAATCAATTCATCATTTATAAACATTGCTGAGTAATTTACTGTTTATTTTCTATTATGAGTTTATCAGTCCTATATAAGTGGCCAATTATTACCTGAAACAAAAATATTAATTTTTAACATGCAGCTACATTGAGAACACAGCTAATGAGAATGGTTTGCCTATTATAAGATTATAGCGCATGTTCTATTTGTACAAATTAACATGACACCTGAAGGCTTACTATATTTCACAGAAAAATAAATTTCAAGTATTTTCGAAATGCTCATACTTTGCATTAATTTATAATACTCTCATATGAACTGACACCACCTCTGATGCACAGATAACCTTCATGGATATCATTTTTACAAAATTATAAGAGCAATTCAAAATTTTTGTTTGAGGACAAATAGATTATGTTAATTTGTAAAGTTAGATTATTGGTTAAATAAAATAAAATCATTATTTCTTTTAAATTCTATTGAACTTTAATTTTATTGAACTTCTTATAGTGTGGCAGTACTGTGTTCAATGCTCCACTGAACACTGTATTAGTAGCATCACTGCCGATCTTACATAATAGTAACTACTACTTTAGTCCCCCAAACTCAATAAGAGGTTAGTTATCAAAGCATAGTCTAACAACTTTCATTTATATTTTTATTTAGATTAAGCTTTATTCTTCAGCCTTATAAATATACCACTTTTGAAGTTATGAAAATAGTCTATTAAAAATAAATAGTTTAGTGCTAAGTAACCTTTATTGATTTCAATGATTGACAGTATATCTGGGAACTACCAAATAATTCCACACACCATTCTGTTTTGTTATTTTGTATATTTGCCTAATTTTTTGTGAATCGAAAGATTATGTTACAATAATACTTATTTTTTTGATTCTTTTGCATAATTATAAATATGGCTTTTAATTAAAAAGATTATATCTATATTCTCAATTCAATTTGAAACCATAATATATTGTGGGTATAGTAATCTCATATGGAAATTGATATTTTGAGGTAACTCAAAATACAGTCTGGTGCAGTTAATTTACTTACTTGTCTCCTAATTATGACTAAGTTTTCTATTCCAAAATCATATTCCTTGTTAATGATTTTCTGATCTGTTAATGATTTATTTTCTTTGAAAGCATCTTTGACCCTTCTTAGAGCATAGGAGCTGAAAATTCATTAAAAAATTGTACGTAAATAAATTTATAAAATTTACAATAATGCGTTTCTGGTTCTTGTATGTAGAATAAACTATTCAATAATACTTTATGCAATTAATATTTTTTAAACGAATATAGGTATCACTCTAAAACTATAACTTACAAAATTATTAGGTATATACTGCAAACATGAAAACTCAAAGAAAGGAAACGAAACTGTGTTTTAAACGTAATCGTTTTAAGGTTATGTAATTTTGTTGTGAAATATTTACCGAAAATTGTAGCTAGGAAACTTTTGGGCTTCTCTCATAAGCAATTTATATAAAGATAAAACTTGCATCTTGGATACACTTGAAGTCATTTTCTTTTTGTTTTCACAAGAATTTATTACACTCGGCAAATATCGTATTATTAAAGGTAAATAAAACAACGTTCCGATACATGCAGAGTAATTTTATATAGTGTCGTTGTAAATCATTTGACACAATGAAAATTTTATCTAAAAGAATTTTGAAAATGGTGAAAATAATACGATTAAGTCAATATTTATTAAATATTTGCTAATATGCTTATAAAACTTTCAGTAATTTAATAGTTTTGTTTGTTTATAATTAATGCAGTGATTAATTTAGGTGCACAATGATAATGCGTGTAAACGTTTATTTGATGTTTATTGTACAGAATTCAATAACATTTTTGTCCCAAAAAAATTGATTGTAATTTACAAAAGCAGAAAAAAGCTGTATGAACTAAATAACATAAGTTAGGACATCAAAGAATATATGAGAGGTATAGAAGCAAAAGCGCTTCAGTCCAAAAATGTTGTTTTTTACACTGAGCACACCAAATTGTAGCGATAAAAATATGCAAAAATATATTATAATTGGCTCCATGCAAATCCACCTCAATCTTACATAAAATTCACTTAGAAAGTAGCGTTTAGATGCAAAACCGCTTCGATCCAGTATTTGTTAGGAGGAAATCCGCCTCGATCACAATCAACCAACCAGAAGCAGCCATTTCAAAATTTCTAAGATGGCGAATTAGTTACTTTTCATAGTAAGTTGAGTGAGCATAGCGCGTGTTTAATTTGTGTTTTTTATTAAATAACTTATTGTAATGGAAGAAAACATTACACCAGCACGTGCAGGACGAGCACGGAAACGTCTGGCAAATAAAAGTCAGTGGCGAAGAGTGAAGGAAAAAGCAGAAAGGTAACAAACAATTTACTAATATTTTGGCCGTTATGAAAAGGTAAAGTAGGGTTTGCATAGAATGCTTCTTCTAAATTTTATTTCAATTTTCTTTAAATGAATTGTAAAAGCACGTAACGTAATAACATTTTATTCGCTATACTGAACAGTTTTTTTTTGCTTTTGATAATGGGTTTTATTTTTATTTGCTTAAGGTACTCTGCTAAAGATCTCCCACAACTACCTGCATGCCAGCACAACAAAAAAAATATTTACGACTGCAAAAATATAAGTTTGACTCATGCTAAATATCGTATTTTCATGACGCTTTTTATGCTAATAAATCAAAAAAAGGTCAAGATGCTTTTCTTTTAAAATATTGTGAAGTAGCTGATGTTCAACGTAGTCGTCCCAGGCTAGGAACACAGGGGCCAGCACGCCAGGCAAACTACTCCACGAAATTATTTGTAAGGAAAAAGAATTCTAATAACTTGTTCCACGTTTGCCAATCAACTTTTTTGGGCATATTGCAAATACTGCGGAATAGAATCCGCAGGGTAGCGGAAATTTATAAAATAACTGGTGGTTTCGTAAAAGAAAATAGAGGAGGAGATCACACATCACATAAAAATGTCCACAAACTACAGGAAGTTAAAACATTTATTGAATCCTTTAAGTGTATAGAGTCTCACTATTGCCGGTCTTCTACCGAAAGGAAATATTTAGATTCGACATTAAACATTAAAAAATGTGCCTAATGTTTAATAAACAAGCAGTGAATTCTGTAAAGCAGTGTTATTTTCGAAGAATTTTTAATACGCATAATAATTTCGGATTTTGTAACCCAAGAACTGATGTTTGCTCGAAATGTACTGAAATGGACGAACAAATTAAGAGTGAACAAAATTCATCAGTTAAAGCAAAGTACATGATAGAAAAAACAATTCACAAACGTAAGGCTAAAAAATTCTACAAATTATTAAATGAGCGACAAGATGGAATGCTCACACTCTCTTTTGACTGTCAAAAAAACCAAGTTCTGCCTAAAATACCGGATCAAATAACTTATTATAGTAGACAGTTGTATGTATACAACTTTGCTGTTGTTTTGTCAGTGGAAGGAAAGAAACTTAATCGGGATACTGTCAATTTATACTCATGGAATGAAAATGAGTACACGAAAGGAGCAAATGAAATTGCTTCAGCAGTATATCACAAGTTGAATTCTTTGAGCTTTGATGGAATTCAAACTTTGCGACTGGTAGCTGATGGTTGCGGAGCTCAAAATAAAAATTCTATTTTTATCAGAATGTGTCTGGTTAAGTTATGCTCCCAATAATGTAAAAGAAATAGAACTTGTTTTTCCTATACCAGGTCATTCTTTCCTACCCGCTGACAGGGTGTACCCCGCTAACTTGGTAAGAGTTAAAAAGACATGAAGTGATTGTACAACCTAAAGAATATCATAATATTTTTAACAAATATGGGACGGTTATCAACATGGAGATGATTATTAATCCGCTATCGCTATCTGATATTATTAAACCGCCTGGTCAGTGGCATTTTCAATTTGCGCAAAGTAAGCGTTTTTTATAAGTAGGATTGGTAATAAGGTAAAAGTTAAAGGGGAACTCCATTACACATCTGACTTTACCCAATTAAAATCCATTCTAAAAAGAGGGAAATCTTTCAAGGATGTTCTGCCATTGCCACTTCCAAAAAATAATGTGGCATTAAAAGCAGAGAAAAAAAATTATGTGAGGAAATTGTTGGAGAAACACTATGGACCGCAATGGGAAAATCTTAATGAACTCCAATATTACAATAATATTTTGAATAATAATAACAGTGATTCAGTTCAAGAGGATGAGCCTATCTGCGATCCACCCACAGCGGATTCAAATATTATGATTTAATTCTTAGTTTTTTTTTTACTTTTTTTCATGCGCAAGAATAATATTTTATCTTTACTTTTCATAAATAATTATAATACAATTTGATGTCCTGTTTTTAAGTTCCTGTAACTAATTTGTTAACAAAATTAATTAAATTCATAATCTTGTAAAACATTGTTTTATTTTGCAGTCGGTACCGCCATTTATTGACATTTGACGAATTAAATAGTGACATGCAAATTCGCTTCTATCCAAAGCAATGAAAAGCAAACATGCTTTAGTCCAACGCTTAAATGCAAAAACACCTCAGTCCTACATTATTTCTTAAATTATAAAGAATCTATGTATATTTTATTTGTTTTGATTATTGGTATTTGATTAATGAATTCTATTGAATGTACCAACATCGGATTCTGATAAAAAATACTATTTATTACGACACAGTGGAAATTTGCGGTTTTTCAGTCTAAGAATTTTGTGACTGAAGGGCCTTTGTATATGAGGGGTATAAAAACCCCTCATATACAAATAAGTACAGTAGAACTCCAATTATCCGAACTCCGACTATCCGAATCGCCGATTATCCGAATCACAAAAAATTGTCCAAAAAAAGTCTAAGTGCGCTATTATTCTCCCCCCCGCGAAGCCAGTGTTTGCGCGTCAAGTCTTGACTTGACTTGTCTTAACTTGCCGTTGTGCCTACACTGACTTCCCCCCGCGTGTGTAGGCACAACGGCAAGTTAAGACAAGTTCCGGCGCATTGCAGTCACGGCGCACCTGTCATTGTTTGTTTTGATTAGCCAGTGTGCTATTGACCTTGCTCGAGGACGCTACTCTTTCGCTACGGCTTACTTTTGTTTGTGCGTGTACAATACTGTATTGTTTTTATACCATGGCTTCGAAAAGAAAACGTGTTGTGCTATCGTTAGCGGACAAACTGAAAATTATAGAGCAACTCGATAAAGGTGTAACGGGTAAGAAGTTGTCTGAGATTTATGGTGTTGCATAAATCTCAAGCAACAATTTCTGACATTAAAAATAGTAAGTCAACACTTTTAAACTTTGTTTCGGTGCTTGAAAATGAAGATGGAAGTTCCTCCAGGAAAACAATGAAGACAGCAACCAACAAAAATTTGGAAGATGCCGTGTTTAAATGGTTTTTGCAGCAACGTTCTATGGGAAATCCGATTTCAGGTCCAATCCTTTGTGAAAAAGCCAAAATCTTTGCAGAAAAGCTTGGTTATTCATCTTCTAGGAGAGTGGATGGCTTGTGACACGTCTGACCCTGGTTTTCAAATTCTCAATGACGATGAAATTGTTGTAAGTGTGAGAGAAGATGTTGAAGTGGAAGTGGAAGAAGAACTTTCTGCTGATGTTGAAGTAGACGCTGGACCATCAGCTAGTGAAGCATTTGCCGGCCTCGAGACTGCTTTGAAGTGGATGGAGCGTCAGCCCGAGTGTGATCACTTGCAACTGCTCACCGTCAAGCGAATGCGTGACCTGGCTGCCCGAAAACGGTTAAAGACCGCAAAACAGCTTACATTGACGGAGATGTTTAAAAAACAATGATTTTTATTTCTAAACTTGTACATAAGTACATTTTATTTATATTTAAAACATGTGAAAATTTCATGTTTCTTTCATTTAATTCAATAAAAAAATAGTGCAATATCAAAACGTAGCTTTTATTCTCTCCAAGGGCAATTTTTTTTTTTTTAAATCCGTTTATCCGAATATTTGATTATCCGAATGGGTCCCGGTCCCCATTAATTCGGATAATTGGAGTTCTACTGTATATCGTTTAGCCGAATGTAATGAGGAAGTATTTAAAAAATATATTATTTCCCGAAATCTAACTAGATATCGCTACGGTACTTTCTTGATTTCTCCATACCAACTATAAACAGTGAAATTGGAAGAGAAAAATCCAGAAATACTAATTCTAATTTAAATATTGATAGTAAAAAAGAAACATTAAATCTTGAATCTTCTACAGCATTTGAAAATTCATTTACAGAAATTGCAGTCTTAATTACACAATCTTAATTGCTCTTCCACTGTTGCTGAATTTATTTTGAAGGCAAATTTAAATAACAATTTAAGTTTCTATACATCGATTTTAAATATATAATAAAATATTTTAATCAGGTATAGAAAACAAAACCGCTGATTTATGGAGTAATTCCATATCTGTATTGAGACGATAGGTCCAAACCTAGTTTATATAATTAATGAATGTACCGATTGTGGTATTTTTACTGAGGTATAGTAAGAAATATAGTAAGATTATTCTTTTACATAAATTGTGTAGCACATCTGAGCCTACTAACTTTAGACATACAT